TGATTAACTTGAATAATTGCGACAGTCTTGCAAACGCCTCACTAAACAACAGTTCGGTGAAGCAGATTAAGAACATGTTAACAGTACCCTCTCTCTTCCTTCTGGGAGCAGCTCTTGTTTTGGCTGTAATAATACTGTTCGCTCTTGTGTCTTCCAAGTGTTTCAAGTTTCCAAATACTCTTCTATACTTCAACATTGCTCTCACGGATGCCTTTATGACGGTAGCAGGGATTATAATGCTATCAGTTTCAACCAAGACAGCCGCTTGGTCTTCTATGGCTCTAAACTTTGACATTTTGAGGTACGATTTCCCTTCGCTCTCGTTTATCAGAATTATAAATCAACGATCTGTCAAGTTGGGCAAAGATAGCTTTATATTTAATTTCCATGAGAAACATATTTTGATATCGCATAGAATTCACAATAGATAAAAAGCGCTCAGAGTTTTTAACTTTAATGAGCCGGCTCTAACAACATTATATGCCCAGGTCGGTGTGGTCTCTTACTGTGCTGAGTATGATGATAAACCGGTACAGGATCATCAGTGGAAAACCAGGGTTTTCTATCAAGACCACATATGCTGTAGTGATACTCATTTGGATTGTGAGCGCAGCACATTCAACATTGTGGTATCTGACTCGGCAAGAAGGCGCTCCTTGGAAAAAGCTTAACAGTGAGATTACTGGAGTTATCCTGAGAAATATTCTGGTCCTGGTATTTGCTCTTCCCTTTCCCATCGTGATAGTTCTACTGGTGATGATCTCACGCACGGCTAAAAAACACCTTAGAAAAATTGCTGATATCGAGAACACGCCATCGGTTGCCGCATTACAACAAATAAAAGCTGACTTAAGGCTTCTCTGTGCATTTGGGGCTGTTTATATTGTAGGATTTGGTGTAAATTTTGTTTTCAGTGTCAACACTTTGGTTAACCTCAGCGGATTTCTACAAGTTGTACCACACTGGGAGGGCAACGAAACAATCTGCGAGTACATATTCGTTTATTACGCCATAGCCAACATGCTAATAAACTTCTTAAACTCACTGATAGTTGTACAAAGCAGACATGTACAGGGTGCACTGAATAAGATGTACCAAAACACTTCCAGGGTTTAGTTGTGAGGAAGGTAACCGGAGGGAGCGCAGGGAGAGACTTATCCAGGAAAAAGTCGGTGGAAATTAATTTTTAGTCTGAAATGTTTGATGCTGTAGAGAAGATTGTTAGACTTCTATTTGATTTGGAATATTGCAACATATTTTAAATCGTGATTACATCTCTTTTTGCCTTTTTTGCAGTGAAGTTTTATATATATTAAGACGCAATAAAATTAGAAACTATCGGGCAACCATGCATGGGGACTTGCCACCCCATGGCAACATTAAATGTGAGTGTGGTGTCCTTAGTCTCTTGAACTCCTTTATAAACATGTAAGGGAAATTTGTACCTATTCATGCCAGTCTTACAGTGTGAGTAAACCTGTAATTCAACACTGTAAACGTTAATCGAGTAGTTTCATGTAGGAAGAGATTATTTATACGATGAGTTATATAATGTCTAACAACCATATTTTACTACATGCACCATTTCCCGTGGCGTTAACTGCTTTTAGTGGCCATAAACCTTTAGTTCTCCTAATCCGAACAAGTCACTGCTCGCATGATTAATTTGACAAACTGCGACAGTTTCTCAAATTCTTCATTAAACAGCAGTTCTGTGCTGCAGATTAAGAACATGTTGACAGTTCCTTCACTCTTTCTTCTGGGAGCAGCTCTTATCCTGGCTGCAATAATACAACTCGCTCTAATTTTATCAACATGCTACAAGTTCCCAAATTCTCTGCTATACTTCAACATTTCTTTCGCGGATGCCATCATGGCTGTAACAGGTATTCAGATGGTCTTAGTTCCAGTAGACTCATCTACGTGGACCAACATTCAGTTTCACGAGATATCTTTAGCCTTCCTCGTCCTAAGGTAATAAATTCCCTAAAAAATCATTCACACTCGATACACTTTCAGGATACAAATTCAATTGATAACAATCAAAGTAACCGACAATTTGAAAGCCAGCTCTAACAACGTTCTATGCCCAGGTCGGTGTGGTCTCTTACTGTGCTGAGTATGATGATAAACCGGTACAGGATCATCAGTGGAAAACCAGGGTTTTCTATCAGGACCACATATGCTGTAGTGATACTCATTTGGATTGTGAGCGCAGCACATTCAACATTGTGGTATCTGACTCGGCAAGAAGGCGCTCCTTGGAAAAAGCTTAACAGTGAGATAACTGGAGTTATCCTGAGAAACATTCTGGTCCTAGCATTTGCTCTTCCTTTTACCATCGTGATAATCCTACTTTTGATGATCTTTCTTACTGCTAGAAAAAACCTTAGCAGAATTGCTGACATCGAGAACACGCCATCGGGTCCCGCATTACAGCAAATAAAAGCTGACTTGAGGCTTCTCTATGCTTTTGGGGCTGTCTATTTCGTAGGATATGGTCCTGATTTCGTTGACAGCGTTGACAGCTTAGTCAACCTCAGCGGATTTCTACAAGTTCTGCCAAACTGGGAAAGCAACGAGACATTCTGTGAATACCTATTCGCTTATGACGGCTTGGCCAATATACTTATAAACTTCTCAAACTCACTGATTGTTGTTCAAAGCAGACATGTACAGGGTGCACTGAAGAAGATGTACCGAAACACTTCTAGGGTTGTGAGAAAGGTAACAGGACGGGAGGACAGGGAGAGGCTTATCAAGGAAGAAGTCGGAAATTGACACATTTTTAATTCACTGATTATGTTAAAACTGACATGAACCAATGAAGCAATTTAAAATTTAATCAAAAACAATATCCACTTTATCAAATCATTAAATTTTAATGATTTGATAAAGTGGATATTGTTTTTGATTATCGTAATATAAATAGCGGATTGATTCCTGAGAATTATGTGGACCTCTGACTTTGAGGTCGGCTACTGAAATGGACACCTAGAGCACAGTTGACGCACATTACAAATTTACTTTTTGTTTTATATCGGTGTTCAAACGCTCTCATATTGTGCGTCATGAACTGTTTAGCTGCTGAGATCAACATTTCAATCTTACTTTTTATAAAAATCTCCTCATTCGACCATACTATACCGGTTAGAAACCTGGTTTAAAGTATATGAAAATAGTCACCTCGGTGCTAAGACAATGTCAGTCAACGTGATAAATTTAACAACGCGCCATATGCGTTAACTATGTTCAGTTTTATCGGTCAAAACGGCGCTTAGAAATACCAGATTTGATACAGAAACTCTCTCAATTTGAATAGTAGAGCAAACCTGGCAATTTCAAACAAAAGAATTATCATTTTCAATACCAACAAACGATTTATGACCATCGCGTTAAATTTCTCACCTCCACAATATAAAGCATCCTCTCATCTCCAACAACTCATCAAATTTCATCTTCAGTAATCAAGCCGATTCAACAAACCCTTCTCAAAATGCAATACTTTGCCGTTGTCTTCACTGCCTTCGTAGCCCTGAGTGTGGCTAGCCCCGTGGAGCTGGAGGAGCGGAGTTTCATGGACACTATCATCGAGATGGTCAAGGGATTTATCTGCGGGATGGACAGCCTTCCGTTCGACAACCCAATGCTCCAGATGGTATTCAACATGGTTAAGGGATTCCTCAACTGCCCGAGCGGACAAGAATAAGATGTGTCTGCTTTTACTGAACTTGCATTATCTTTGAATTATTTTAAACAGCTATGACTGTGAAAAATATCTACAAAATTTTGAGTTTTTCTCTTTATAATGACATGATATCGATATCTCAAAATCAGATAAATTTATAAGCACAAGCATTATGTCCATAATACTGCAACTGTATTAGGTTTGGCAACAAAATAAAGCTGGCAGTTTACACATTTATGTTTCCTTCTGTACATCGGTGGTTCAGAATAAATCCTTGTTGTCGGTCCTCAACATTCTAATCACCCTTCAACAACTCTCGAAATTTACTTTTAACCGCTACATCGAATACCTAAGTACCTAGACTCATATATTAAACAGCTTTTGGATAATTTATTGTGAACGATCTGGACATATTGTTAATCTTGAAATTCATGACCAGGCTCAGTCTGATCAAATTAATTTAACAACCTAAACGGGATAACCGCACAAACTAACAGCTCAGGTGGAACCCTTGAGACAATAATTTTCAGTCACATTTCAGTAAAAATCCGATTCTCATATTTTTCATAGCTCCTCAGTTTTGTCGTGATTAGAAGCAGTGAAGTTTGCAACCATTAATTTTTGTGAATCCCCCGATTCCCAGAAAATTGAACATGAAAGAAACATCTAGATGAAAAACATGACTATAAGCATATTTACGCTATTCAGGTTATTTACATATAAAGCTTTGGTCAAATGAATGATTGTAATGTCAACAGATAAATATATTTGGCGCTGTGAATGCCTGTGAATTGCTAAATTCAATGAAGAAAATAATCGTCCACCGTTCCACACCAGATTAAAGCATGACCTGGTTTTTAAATATGAAAACTAAAATAAATCTGGCGCTGTGAACGCCTGTGAACGCCGCGCCTGTGAATTGCTGAATTCAATGAAGAAAAATCATCCCCGCTTCGCAACAGATTAAAAATCACTTGAAGCCTATTTTCGTTTTTACGTAAACTAAATGTTGGTTTAATGTCTGTTTGTAATAACTAATATAAATCCGGGTGGTGCGGTGAATATATATTATATACTATGCCGTATGAGAGGCAACATTTAGTTGCAGCATCGTAGTTTTTTAAAAGACCATGTTAATTTGACTCATTTCATTTGAAATTATCAAATTTGACTAAAGCTCAGCTAAAACTATTGTTAAGTTCAGAGTTCTATCTTGTTTATAGTGACTGTTTGAGCCCCTGCCATGAAATGTAAGCTATAAATATAGTACCGCTATACGTAACATGATAAAAAAGGGAAATAAATTCCTCACCCTAACATTAAGATCGTGAAGTCCTTCGTTCTCAATCTTCATGACAGGACCGGTGTCCCCGACCATCACGTCCTCGTATGTTGAAATACACTTCACCTGTTGATATACGTGTCAGAAACCAAAATTCAGCTCCGAGTTCTCAGTTCTGATATTCTGTCGCGCTACTATTCTCACGTAAATTTTTGTTCCTTTCAGAATTCAATAACGAAATAAAGGCCATGAACAAAACCATGAAAATACGGACCTTTACTGATAGTTGAAATTCGACATATGACGTCATCTAGCGTCATCTAGCGTCATCTAGCGTGAAATATCGCCAGATGATGATAGATGACGCTAGATGACGCTAGATGACGCTAGATGACGCCAATTAGCGACATTGTCGCTAAGTGCACGGCACCTTTCGAATGTCGCTATCTAGCGCTATCTAGCGCTATCTAGCGCTATCTAGCGCTATATGACGCTATATGACGCTATATGACGCTAGATGACGCTAGATGACGCTAGATGACGCTTATAAGCACGCAGCACTGACGCCAGGCGACAGATAGCGCTATTTTCATAAAATTTCCGCCCTTTTTTTTTGCGACATCTAGCGCTATCTAGCGCTATCTAACGCTATATGTCGCAACGACATCTGACGCAGCGCTATCTAGCGCTATCTAGCGCTATCTGGCGCTATCTAGCGGAGAATGTCGGTTTGTGACAGTTTCCGCTAGATAGCGCTATCTAGCGCTATCTAGCGCTAGATATTGCGGCGACAGCTAGCGCTAGATAGCGCTATCTAGCGTAAACTGTCACAAACCGACATTCTCCGCTAGATAACGCTTGTTAGCGCTAGATAGCGCTATCTAGCGGAGAATATCGGTTTGTGACAGTTAACGCTAGATAGCGCTATCTAGCGCTAGATATCGCGGCGACAGCTATAGCTATGGCTATAGTTGTTAAACGTTAAATATCTAACGTTGGTTATAAGTTTTATTTTTAACGTTGCAAAACGTTTATTATTTGACGTCAGATCAAGGTTACCTTATTAACTATAAACAGAGTTTAAAATTCAACTACATTTTAAAGTTGTATGTAGGTTACATATAAAACGTTGTTAAACGTTAAATATCTAACGTTGGTTATAGGTTTTATTTTTAACGTTGCAAAACGTTTACTATTTGACGTCAGATCAAGGTTACCTTATTAACTATAAGCAGGGTTTAAAATTCAACTACATTTTAAAGTTGTATGTAGGTTACATATAAAACGTTGTTAAACGTTAAATATCTAACGTTGGTTATAGGTTTTATTTTTAACGTTGCAAAACGTTTATTATTTTACGTTAGATCAAGGTTACCTTATCAACTATAAGCAACGTTCAAAACTCAACTAAATATTAATGTTGTATGTAGGTTACATATAAAAACTTTGCCGGTTGGTATAGGCTTAGACTAATATTTTGAGAAAAAGCGGCGCGTGATAGTAAATTACGAGTATCACCCGTTAACGAGTGAGATTCGTCCAGTATAACCTGTTTATGCTCTAACCATAGCCCTCTCGCTAGTACTAGTAGTACGCTTAGACACATGGCTATGTGAAAGAAGATGATGTAAAGATCTAAATGTTAAATTAGCATTTGCAAATTAATAGTATTGAAATCTCGCACAGCAAGTTATTAAAAGAATGTAATGAGAGTCGAGCCGAATTTATTGTTCAGTAATCACATATATAGTACCCACGAGTTTTCAGTTTACGCGTACGAACTACGCGCAAGTATGAAGTGCAAGCGCAAAAGCTTTAGTGCAATTTAGCTACTGCAAGCGAGAGGGCTCTGGTTAGCGCAACTTAAAATGCGATGCATTCAGTATTTAGAATTAATATATTATAAATTTATAAGTTATGCTATGTCAATCCTCTTACCTGGGGACCCAGGCTATTATGTACATGTTCATAAACATTAAGATTTGGCGAATAAAGATTTGGCGGAATGACAGGCTGAGCGCGGCCCAGTAACAATCCTCGGGATCGGAATTATTTTGGATAAATACTTTACAGCTTTGAGCTTCGAGTAATCTATTTGACGATGTTTGTTGTAGCGCGATGCAATACTGGGCCGCGCCGCGCAGCCAATAATATAATGCTTCTTGCAACCACTAGTGCTTTACTAAACATACTTGGTCAGTACGTTACTGTATGTACGAATTTTTAAAAGGTGTCGAACTGTACAAATTTTAAAAAGCTGTCGAGGAATTTTTACCGAATTTTTAAAAACATTTTTGTTTTTTAATCAGTAATCACTTCAGTCCGAAAAATTTGTTATTTTTGTCCGGGAGGTTACATTTCAGATTTAAAATATTAACATGCATTCGCACGTCATCGTTTCCCGCCATTTTAACACAAATTTTTGCAATTAGCTTTTTATTATATATTTCGAAAATTTATGAGGCGAATTTTTCCCAAACTAATCCCGAACTGAAAAAACGTGCCGAACTGTACGAATTTTTTACGACTTTTGTACGAACTGACCAACTATGTTACTAAATTGGCGATATGCACCATGACTGGGCCTCGCCGAGCTGTGAACATGAACAGTGAAGGATTGACATCGTGAATCAACGCGATGCGTTACTGTGAGTGTGTCGCGCCGCGCATCCAAAAATGCTTCTCGGTATCCAATAATGCTTTTCGGCGAAATGCACCACTGAGCTGTGAAAGATTGGCATCATGAATCAACGATGTTAGTAACTTGTATAAATTTCGTCGAAATAGTACGTGCCGCTTTCTTCCGATCCCGAAATGTTAAGGGTCGACGGTCGTTTGACGTTTACATATTAGTATTACGTAATCAGCTGAGGAGCTTGGGGTTTTCAAATGATTATTGATTACGCTAGTGTAATATTGACATAAATATAATAGCTATGGTAAAACTGATTACGGGGTATGTGAACGACCCCTCATTGTTAGTAATCAGTTCCATACATAGCTATTAAGCTATTAGTATTATGTCACAATCACACTAGCGAGCGTAATAATTTGGAAAACCCCGGCCGGCGGCATCAGGCCCTTTATATAATTATAATATGTAAACGACCCCTTGATTAAGTGATATTTAATATTTTGTTCCACTCAGCCGAATATTTGATAAATCGAGTGTAATAGTTGGGTGATTTCGACGAGCCGCGCAAGCTTATAGTTATATCATTTGCATTCTCACTTAAATTATAATTAATTTTCATACACAGTAAAAATTAATTTTCATATAAAATAAAAATAACAAAACACACACACACACACACACACACACACACACACACACACACACACACACACACACACACACACACACACACACACACACACACACACACACACACACACACACACACACACACACACACACACACACACACACACACACACACACACACACACACACACACACACACACACACACACACACACACACACACACACACACACACACACACACACACACACACACACACACACACACACACACACACACACACACACACACACACACACACACACACACACACACACACACACACACACTGGATACTGTGATAGGATATGATATCTTGTGCTATATGTAGCGACGACATCTGACGCAGCGACATATAGCGCTAGATAGCGACATCTAGCGCTAAATAGCCTGGACTGTCACGACCCAAAATTCTTCGCTATTTAGCGCTATCTAACGCTATTTAGCGATATCCAACGCTATTTAGCGATATCTAACGCTATCTAGCGCTATATGTCGCAACGACATCTGACGCTATATAGCGCTATCTGGCGCTATATAGCGCTAGATAGCGTGAACTGTCGTAAACCGACTTATCCCGCTATCCAGCGCTTGATCATTGATGTCGCCTGCGTCAGATGTCGTCGCATTCGAAAGGTGCCGTGCACTTAGCGACAATGTCGCTAATTGGCGTCATCTAGCGTCATCTAGCGTCATCTATCAGCATCTGGCGATATTTCACGCTAGATGACGCTAGATGACGCTAGATGACGTCATATGTCGAATTTCAACTATCAGTAAAGGTCCGAAAATACATTGTTTTGTAATATGTAACTTTTTCTAGTAATGCAACCTTTCTGAAAGTTGGAAGTTTTCAAGGTAAAATTGTTGGACAAATTATTCCCCTTTAAAAATGTGGCATAAATATACGCAAATACCTGCATGCCGATGCGGATGTTCTTCTTGACATATTCAGCGTAAGCGTCCAAAGTTGGGAAGTTAGCTGGCAGTTTATAGTAGGATTCATCGTCTAAATATTCCTCTGAAAAGTTAAATTATATTAGATATATATTATAATATTCATAATTGCAGATATCCTCCATGGAAATACGTTCATATTGCATAGTAACACAAAATCAATGATAATCAGCTATATCATACCTCCGTCCGAGAAATCGTCTTCATCAGAGCTGTCAGTGATGGGAGTGAAGGGAGCTACAACAGCAGGCTGAGGGGGAGGAGGGTTCTCCAGTAACCAGGCCACAACTTGCTCGATACGGGGCTCCACTACTCCCAGTGCTGCATTGGGAAATGGGATAGTTAGACATAACGTCTTACGACAAGGGGTGGTTTAAAAAAAACTCGTGACAATTTCTAACTCTACTAGATGGAGTATCATTCCCATAGGCCTTAAATCCTCTGGTAGCAAAAACACAAGAGAAACTTACAGGTGATCGCATGCTCGATATGGTGTTACTTACAGGTGATCGCATGCTCGATATGGTGTAACTTACAAGTGATCGCATGCTCGATATGGTGTTGGGTGAAGCCCATGTCCAGGATCTGTCGGATTACAGGGGTGATCGGCTTTGGTCGTTGTACTGTGGCTGCCGCTGGTCGCGACTTCACTTTTTTAGCCTGGAAAAAAAAATGTTTTAGTAAGCTACTTTATTAAGAATTCCATTCTCTTGACAACAGGTAGTTGCTATCATAAACAATAATTGCGCACGTTTTTTTCTTTTTTACAAAAAACGGCGGATGGAAAAATCCCAGCTTTCACAAACCTTGCTGCTATATATTATACATACCTTGCTGCTGGGTTCTGATATCGTATCAGGATGGAGTAGTTCTGTCATGAGAAGTTGGGAGAGTGACAAAGCAGCCACCTCTAGCTCCTCTTGTGAGAAGATAGCCTTTACTGGGCTTGGTCTCGTCGCTGATACCTGGTCATGCATACGTGTTAAACTGTGCAGTGATTTTGGACTCGTTGTTTTGGTTTAATTTACAAAATATTTGGCTGGAGCAGAGTTCAGAGCTCGTGATGCGTGCAGTCATTTTTGATATTTCGCGCCAGCGGCCACAATTTAGAATTAGGAACCAGCTGGATTCAATTAAAACTTTCCATGGAATTCGATTAACTAGACGGTAATTCAAGTGGAGTCCATTTAACTGATCAGATCAGATGAATTTCGACCGAATATCGTAAGACAATTATTGAGCTGTTGTTGTTGACCCAGACGGTTCCGGTGGTTCCAATGACTAATTTACAAAAAAGATAAGCTTGAGTATCCTATTGCTAATGCAATCACATGAATATAATATAGAAGCGTCTTTACAGTTTGTGCTAATATTGTTTGGTTGAACGAAATGAATTAGTAGAAAATTTCTCTGTAAGAATAGTAAATCCTGGTACTTTATTTTTGATGGGTCGATCAAATCAGAAATAAGATACTCCGGCTTAAATGACTACGTAATTGAAACTACAGACATTTCAAACAAATGATCTTAGTCTTACCATGAGCTGTCTAAGAAGTTGAGAGGAGCCGGGTTTGTTCAGCAGTTCTGTGGCGCTCGCTTCGAAACCTTTTGGTAAGAGTGAGTTGTCTGCGGGAGCGTTTACCATAATCGCTCTCAGCCTGAAAGTGAAAATGAAAGAACAAACATTTTAAATTTTAATCCGTTAGCCAAATCATAGACACATCAGGAAGTATTTTTTCGAAAATTTGGGCTGTATCAATCATAATCATGCTGTCTAAACTGTTACCTGCTCTGACTCTGGAAGAGGACCCGGGCCGCCTTCAGGACTCCAAAGAGCAACAGTTGTCTCCAGAGAAGACCAGGCTCTATTTTGGGTGGAGGAGGCTTTGCTTTTTCGACTGGCTCATCTTCTGCCTTCCTCTTTTCCCCCGCGCGTTGTTCTGGTTCTGATTCCTCTTTTTCTGAGGAAGATTAAATAAGTTTTTAAGGGTGAGGCAAACAATCCGAACGACTATCAATGTCAGGGCAATGAGTTTTTTTGAACTGACTCATATCTTGGCAACTCTTGTTCAGTTTTAAAAACGTTGTTGAGCAGATATTTAGATCTGTGGCACCACGATCTACAAAGATATTCTATGTGGCCTAAAAAATATTCTATGTGGCACTGGGTACAGAATAAAACACTTCCCATTCATAGTATAGTGTGTTTTCAGTTGTTTTATAGTTTCATACAATCGTATCTGAATTTTTGTTCAATCGTGTGGAGTTTCGCATTAAACACACATATTGACGAAGCCTGGCCCGTTTTTCTGCTGAACAAAATTTTTCAGAATGTCAAATAGACAGCCATCTCAACTAGTCTAAAATTGAACTATTAGATAAAGTAAAAACTTGTTTTTCTACTTGCAGCCTTTAACTTAAATTTCCCACCATTCACCATTCACCATTCACCAGCCGACTATTAAATTCAATTTACGATTCCCACCATCCCATACCACTTTCTCATAAAAGTTTATTGTGTTAGGAAATGAATGAGTGAGAAATTACAAAGACTGAAAAAAAAGTTATTTTCGTCAATTTTGAGTTTAAGCAAAGCTTATTTTTCTAATTGCAGCCTATAACTTAAATTTCCCACCATTCACCATTCACCAGCCGACTATTAAATTCAATTTACAATTCCCACCATCCCATATCACTTTCTCATAAAAGTTTATTGTGTTAGGTAATGAATGAGTGAGAAATTATCAAAACTGAAGAGAGCTATTCGCGTCAATTTTGAGTTTGAGCAAAAGCTTATTTTTCTAATTGCAGCCTATAACTTAAATTTCCCACCATTCACCATTCACCAGCCGACTATCAAATTCAATTTACAATTCCCAGTTCCCACCATCCCATACCACTTAAGTGCACTTTCTCATAAAAGTTTATTGTGTTAGGAAATGAATGAGTGAGAAATTACTAAGACTGAAAAAGAAGTTATTTTCGCCAATTTTGAGTTTGAGCAAAAGCTTATTTTTCTAATTACAGCCTTTAACTTAAATTTCCCACCATTCACCAATCATTATCCGACTATCAAATTCAATTTACAATTCCCACCATCCCATATCACTTTATCATAAAAGTTTATTGTGTTAGGTAATGAATGAGTGAGAAATTATAAAGACTGAAAAAAAATGTATTTTCGACTTTCGTCAATTTTGAGTTGTGAGCCAACGTTATTTTGTTTTTTTGAGTATTTTGAAGATAACTTATATTTAATAAACTTTCAAAGCGCTTATGAGTTGCCCTTGGGCCGGGATCTTTCAATCAATCATGTGGTAACAAGGCCATTGTTGATCAGTTTGTATTTGTAGACGTGACGTTTGTCTTTTTTCTAGCACTCTCTAAGTTTAGCTTACTTATTCGTCGATCGATTTTACAAAAAAAGGGACGCGAGACTTACCCTCAATAATGCTACCCTCGCAGTAGGGCTTGTCTCCAGCACTGAGTGTCCTGGTGTGTCCCTTCTTGTTGGTGGGGGAGAGAGCAGACATGCTCGCTGTTCTGATGTGACCCGTATTCGGAGTCAGGTGGTCCACGACGGGAGTGTCCGCTGGATCTGAGAGTCACTTGGTTAGTGAACGTTCGTGTCCTTAATAATACAGGGTGGCCCAGAACTAGCAGCCCTGTACCTTGGTATACAGTTAGAAACTATTCAAATATAATGTTAGCTTGATGAACACAAACACTTTAAAACTTACCTAGTCTCCTAGACCCACTAGCAAGGAGTATGATAGAAGCCCACACTCCCATGTCCCTGGCTTTCATAGGCAGCTTGTCAACGTGTAGCGCATTCTCCGATACCAGCTGCACTTCACTTAGTAGACACGCCTGCAAAAACAGTTAAGTTTAGAAACTTCAAAAGTCAAAAGGTGCAATATTATGTCTCATCAAAGAGCCGCTTTCATTCCTATGTTTATGAATAGCTGAGCAAAAACCTTTTTACTGTGGTCTTGTAGTTGGAGTGATATCTTCCCAGACGGTTCTATCCGGCAGATGGTGGCGGTACCCCACTTAGGATTATCAACCAGCGACCCGAGCCTCGGCCTTTTGTCCACACCACCTGAATTGTAAATTATTGTAATAATTGTTTCGCTGGACTACAAAATTGGAACTTTTTAGCGTACTTCTATTGCAATTTCGCAGCCGTGCTAAAACTCTTAAGCTAAATATTTATCAGGACTTGTCAAACCTAAAAGGTGCTCGGATTAAGATGCCGACAGGTGTCGACTAATTTACTGCCCCGGCGACAAGTCAATTAATGTTATTCATATTGTTATTTGCGCTGCACCTGCCTAGAAGGGGGATCCTTAATGGGCAAGGTAATTATTTCATAACAGTTTTATACGAGCTATAAAGTCAGGAGGCACAGGTGAACCTACCACGATCCTGTTGCGAAACTTCGTTCTTTTTATTGAATTATTTACTCACCAAATATGTTTGAAACTTTGATATTTGTATTTCTAAGACTTCGTTGTCTGGCAAAGTGGCAATAGTGTTATCGGGATGGGCCACAGAAAGCGATACTATAGAACGATGGATGTTCACGGTGAAATGCGAGTGACGTAAAAGTACGACATGATACGACTGTTCTGGTTTACGTCAATTATCAGTTGGTCCTTGTACGTTGTTCAATGGTATTATCTACTTCAATGAGTTGTCAAGTTCAGTTTTAAGTCAAAAACTCAACAGTTTGATACAATATCATTCAGTTAATTTAAGCTTGAAAAAGTTAGCTCATCGTTTAAATATAGGTTCAGCTACATTTCATGCGAAAACTTTTATGTTATAAATGTGAGATGCCTGAAACATTCAATTGAACATCAATTGACTTGGTGAAATTTCCATTTAGGTCTTTACACATGTTTGTGCAAAGGAAAGTTTTTCCTGGAAAGAAGCCACATGACTGAAATTCGTGCATGCGATTGGTTCATATTGAACTGTCCAATTAGTTTTTGTGCAGGATAATTTATGCCGACTACCTACTTTTTTGGAGGGTATTGTAGGTCACTTAACTCTTTGTGATATTAAATGTCGCGAGGCATTATGTCCCAGATCCTTATCCCGCTAATCGTAGCCTAATATATAACTATATAACCTATTTCATTAAATTATGTCTTTATGACTGACCTATCATGCTAAGGACTGCAATTAGCGGCCCCATTATGCTAGGGTTCCCGATGACCCCTTCGCCATCCTCCGCCAGGGGGATTATGTTCGTTATCGTCTTTAGCCAGTTTGATATGAACCTGTTCGTAGGGTCATGATCAGTGATTAAGTCTTCATAAGTTTTAGCTATTTTCTGAATGGATTAATTAAAATCTTATATCCACGTGGTTTGGTGATATAATTAGAAAGTAACATACTAATACACTTAGAAAGTAACCTACTTATATAGCTATCTCCAAACATTCCACATTGCTGGCAACTAACCCGTTAATACTAGAGTTCCAGTCCGGGAGAGAGTGCAGTTTGCGGAGGAGCATGACAACCTCCTCAGCCACAGTGCTGACGGGAGGTGCTGTGAGGGAGGCGATGCCCTCGTTCGTGGATCGCCCCTGTCTCGCTCTCTTCCTCCTGTGTCCAACCCTGCAGACGGAAATTGTTATATTTCCTAATCCGGCATACAATTTAGTCGGGCGTGAATTGATTTTTACATAAAGTACTCATTCCATCTCCGATGATGTTATTCAAATCTGCGATATTTTGATATTTGCTAATTGCTTGTTTTGCAATTATAATATTGTTCCACGTTTTATCATATTTTTAACTTGCTCGGTGGCTCAGTGCTCGATATTTGGCCATTGGCCTGTATGTCTGCGGAAATACCGTACAAGAAATTGGAAACAAATAGAACCTGTTCCGATTTAGATTGAATATCAACATACTAGGGTAGTTTCAACACAATTTATAATAAGATGAGAGATGAAACTGGTTGTTAGTTGCATCATGTACACTTCCAACGACTAATGAGTCAAGACCAGGTGCGCACTATGCTTAAAATACAACGTTCTTGATGACAATACAACATTATAAATAAGAAATACAACGTTCTAAATAATAAATACATTGTTTTGTCTTTTATGATCAGTTTTTCTTGGTGTTCATAATGCCAGCAATTTTGCGAGAAAAAAATTGTACCTGGTCAACATATCAGGTTGAATAGGTCGAACCTTTAAATGGATACCAATTACCTCAAGGGAGGAGGGGACTTTGTCCTCAGACTTCATATTATTAAGACTAAACATCGATTACGTCAGCAATATATTTTACCGTGTAAGTAAAATAGTAAAATGAGTATCTTAAGAGTTTTCGGACGTTATCTGAGCTGTATTTGAGAGAGAATTATATAATTTACATACTTCATTTTTTGATTGTTTCACACTTCACATTTCATTATTACTAGGTGGAGGTGATGTTGTTGAGACTTTGGGCGGCCATAAAACTCGTGTTTTGAAAGTTGTCCTCTGTACTTGTTTCACTGACCCACGCTTTTTAGCATTTATACATTTCTGCCCAATTTATATGTTTGTTCGATTTGCTGTACAATGTACATATGCATACTACATTCATATATTTGCTATTTTGTAAAAGTTTCGAATAAAAAATCATATTGCATTGGGGTGCAGAGCGCCATCGAGTGTCTACAAGAAAGTCAGGTGACATCACAAATAAGCCAATCAGGTCCACGCGTTGCTCATCGCGTCATCTGATTGGCTGAAAAGAGTTGGTCACGTGACATAAGATCTACCAATCAGATGCGCTGATTTAGGTTAGTAGTGCTTATCTCTATTTTACCTTCCTTCGGGATGTCGTTATCAGGTCGCTATTTAAAGATCATAAGATAACATATTGAGTGTAACCGACGGTTTATGAGAATTAGGTTATCTACGCAAGGAGGGTGTTTCTGATAAGAAATTTAAATGCAAACATGAATTGGATATTATTGGTTCCCATCATGAAGTACTATATCAAGATTGCATATTCGCATAATCTTCCTTTCTTATAGTTGTGTTACAGCTTTAATCGCAAAAAAAACGGAAACTAAATGGAAATTCACAATATCACAGTTAGCACGATGAATCTGTTACTCCCACTCCTAGCCCTCTCACTGACCCAATGTAGCTGTATGGAACTGTCCGCCAGCAACAGTGAAGCAGCAGAGAACTTCCTCAACTTCTTCAGAAACACGGACACCGTCTCCAGGGATGCACTAAAGTTTCTGGATAACGTGTTCGTGGAGATGGCACAGTACAGGTGCAATGTTGGGGGAGCTGACTGTGCTGCTCTGAGGGTAGGTGCAATATGGGGGGGGTTTGCTGCTATGAGGGTAGGTGCAATATGGGGGGGGGGGGGGGCGGGGGGGGCTGTGCTGCTCTGAAGGTAGGTGCAATGTTAGGAGTGGGGGGGGGGGGGGGGGGGGGGGGCCGGGGGGTTTGCTGCTCTGAGGGTCTGTTGATAGTTTTTCCGGTTTTAAATGTTTGCAGTTAATTGAGTTTCAACCTCTGATTGTTTTGTAGAATATCTTTATTTCATAATCACGAAATAATTAAACTCAGATAAACGGCTGACATTTCACAGTTTCCCAACTGTTCTCAGGTGGCAACAGAAGAAGTGAAGATGGCAATAGACCAAGCTGCCCTGCAACCCACCAAGTTCGACCGACTCAACATTGCTCGGATCTACCAAGCCTCTGTTGAGCTGGTGGATGATTTTGGGCTGATAAATGCAATCAGGCATGCGGTTATTCAGTACATATGTGTGAAGGAGCCTGAAGCGTGTCCAACACTCACTGCCTACGAGACGCAAGTCGCGGACGCACTCGAGAACGAGATTGACTCTTACATTTAAGAAACTTGTGTTATAATTTTAGCGTGTCTTGTGGTATTTGAACAATTTGACAACAATTTAAAATTCATCTCAGCTGATAGATTTATAGTTTCAGTGACCTGTACAGTATAGAGTATATTAAGTATCCTGAAAATTGTCTTTCAAAAGTTTAAAGTTGTCTTTATTTAGCAATTTATCCAAACATCGAAAAGTTCGCATATTGATTCTTAGGTGTCCTCCTCGGTCAGTTAAGTATAAATATAAACATTGGAGGTCCATTTTTTCTCGTCACGCCGTCGATAGGAAGGGATTGTTTCCTGAGTCATTATACAGTATACAATATACACACATGTACCAAAATTGCCATCATTGCCATCATAAATACATAGTACATACATTGATAACTGACACTTAAGATCCTAAGTACTGAAACAACGATTTGCCATATCTTATTTCAAGTATGTTGTAGTTTTACGAATGGAAAGGGTTAAAAGTGCAAATCAGGGACTACGTATAATTGCAACTCACTTTGGAAGCCAAGTCTGAGAAACAAGGACGTGACCCAAGATCGAGAAGAGCTTGTCGATGAGTTTAGGGATCTTGCTCATGTCGAACCCTTTACCCCAGGCTGGCAACACCACTCCCAGAAGTCTCAGGACCATAATCTTGTGGAACACTTCTGCTCCCGTCCAGCTGAGCAAGATGCGTTTAATAAATTGGTAGGGTTAGTTCGCCTCTTCAAAAAAGATTTCTAAAAATGTAGGACGTAGGTATAAGTAGTAAATGCATTCAGCCGAGTCGAGCCTAGTCGAGGTAGACCGGATCAGATCAACTCAGTCATACCCAGCCATGAATGTATAATGTAGTGATAACTGTGACAATAACAGAATGTATAATGTACTGATAACTGTGACTTACGTTCCATTACCCTGAGCTCCCTGATTTCCTATAATAGAAAGGAGCAAGTCCATCCACCGTGACTCTGACAGAACGAGGCATACTCTCGGAGTTACAGCTATACCTGTTATGGAAATTGTAACTAAGACACTTTAAGTTTAACAGTATCCGCTTGTATATGAGCACATTCAATAGCAGGGTCCCTTAATTATTTCAACTCTTAACTCTGTTATAGTGAAAATTTAACTTAACTCTGAGATGACCTATAACCATGGTAACCATGATAACAGTACCTCTGACGAAGTTGAGCGAAGCAAATCCTGGATGTTGAGTAGGATCACGTGACCAAGCTTTGAGTTTGTGGTGGAGGAGTGAACACACAGAGTTTAGTCCGATGCTGTGGATACATCCTGACACCATCATGATACGACTAAGATAATGTCCAGCCATTCCTCCCACTCCGACTACGTTCTGAGATACCGACAATATTAGTGAGGGAACATTAGCCTTGAGGACTAATTTGGTGACCATTTTGGATGAGTCACAAAATATTCTAATACCAGCAACTTTAACAGAATCTGATATCCGACTTAAAACTAGAAATATGCACGACCAATTGCTTGATTTCAGGGTAAATCGCTGAAACATTTCACGACCACTGACGACTCACCAAGGACTTCATATCAGCTATCCAGGATTCCCAGGTTTCGATTTCCTCCTCGGCAACTTCCAGATAGGAGTGGGTTTTGTCGAGGTTCGGAACATCGGCAAGTTTCAAGTCGTACCTGAAAAGAAAGTATAGTACAATATCTATTAAGCTTTTCGCGGCGACATTTCTCTCTTTTCTCGAAAGATCATTTAAATTATCTAATATAAGCGCCATCTGAGTAAGTAACAGTGATGGTCTTGAGGCAGATTTATTTCTCTGGAAGGGGAAATTTACTTATTGGTGTCATTAAACCAGATTCCGAAAATTCGTCAATTGCCCTTTCGCTTATGAATACTGGAATTACTATTTAAATACCAATACAGCATTTAAATTTTGATTCATTACAGCTGTGCAAGGTAATTTAGTTCCCTTCAAAGATATCGCCGAAGCCCGAAATCATTAAATTTCCTCAAAATCGATATTGCATTTATCGTCAAAAATACCCCTTTAAACGCAGTATTCGAAATCTTTGGCCGTTTGGAATGGCTTATCGTAAAGTTAAGCTTTAAACGTATAGATTTGTCTCCAAAATCAGGCAATAATTTTGAAATGGCTGCCCAAGTGAAAGCAGTTCCAAGTCTTCCAAGTTATTTATAAGTTTATAGATGATCTAGACCCATAACGGTTCGAAAATTTGATGAGACATTTGCGCAAAGATAATAGGTTTTCTATGAATTTACAAGGAAAAATTCGAATTTTTTTCAAGATTTCAATTAATGAAATAAAATGTTAGATTGTTTTCTTCATAATTATTTGGGGCAGACGATAGATTTGGCCAAGTTGAGAAGTCCAATGATCTCTTGAGGTAGGTTGAGCTGGTCGATGAGTTCTCCAACCTCAGTTCCGCAGGCAACGGGCAGTCCAATTTCCAATAGTTTTTGGATGAGCTCGAAGATGTTATGAGAGGGGCCATCTGCCACTTGATAAGTGAGGTTCTCGGAAAAGTTTACGCAGACGATAGATTTGGCCATGTTGAGAAGTCCAACGATCTCTTGAGGTAGGTTGAGCTGGTCGATGAGTTCTCCAACCTCAGTTCCGCAGGCAACAGGCAGTCCAATGTTGATCAGTTTTTGAATGAGCTCAAAAATGTTGATCGAGGGGCCATCTTCGACTTGATAAGTGAGGTCCTCGGCTCTGAATTCCACGGATAGAGTCATGGCTACTACGACAGCGAGAATAATGAAAACCTGGAATTTTTAGTCAGTCAAATATCAAAACATCAATATAACGGAAACATAATATCATTTTGATGGTACTTCCAGTCACTGCTTGTGTTTGATAATCTACATAAATCACTGCCTTATAGAACGAAAACTAAAGTGACTCTTGGAAAGTGGGCCTACAATGTTGATAGATTGGACAAACCACTCACCTTCATTATAGTTGAGAGAATCTGGTTGATCAAGTATGAAGTGGTTGAGTGAAAAGATTATATGGTGAAGTTGGTAGCCCTCCCTCTTTTATACTTGAAATCTCATCAAGCGACGCACGTGCCCGGACTCACCTGCCCTAGTGCTAATTAACTTATCCAATATTGAACGATTTAAACTTCACAGTTTAGAGTTCTTTCATTGTTAATATCCAAATGGCAAGATTAAAAATCAATTTATATCCAAATTGATTGACTTTTAAAATGTCACGTGATAGTTTTATGGCGGTTTCTTTGTATTGAGGCACCTGTTTGGGTTATAATTATATTAGCACATCCGTGGAACTTGCGAAATCTTAATTCATTAAATTTATCAAACTATTAAAAAAGCCGCATAGAATATAGATCCGACAAAGTTATCTCAATCATGGACAGGTAAGTCACGCCCATTGTTCACTATGCAATTAAATAGTTTCTCAACTTCTGAAGTTGCAAATGCAACAGAGTTCATGATGTGCTTTAAGTGACTAAACACAGCTCAATTTGCACATTTAATATACTAAGTTAAATTCACATCGCCAAAATACAGTCGAACATGTGACGCCGAGCCTGATATTGCTAACGTTGGGTAAGATCTTTATAAAGACATCCGGAAGAGTGGAAAATAACCGCAACTGGCATGTTGTTAGTTGTTGCCATGAATTACGCAAATATGCAGGAATCCTAAAAATTGGGCTCGGAAGGTCTTTTCGCAATGGCCAAAAATAGCTATATACAACTCATAAAACAGAAATGCTTGATAGTTTTATGAGTTTTACCAGTAACTGTATGCTTGATAGCTACTGGCAAAAAAATCGGAGGTATAATCGGCTATTTTGACACAAGATTGCTTTTTTTAGTGTGAATATGCTAGAGCTTTTTTATCTGAAAACTCAAAAGGTGAGATTTCTAGGGTTTTTGAGTTTTCTATCACGATCCTATCCATGGTTAATAATTAGCCAAATCGACTCCGCGCCACGCCCAAACCATTTTTTGGTGATTTTCTCAAAAAAGTTAACTTTTTAGGCAATATTCATATAAATACTTTGTAAAATAATGTGCTTATTTGGCAGCAGTTAATAAAGCCCATACCAAAGTCTTTACGACCTTCATATGCTGGGATAGAGTTTTGCTTGAGAGCGAAAGCCGTATCGTGGGTGTGATTTTTCGATTTAATAAAAGGTTGTGCAATCTTTAAGTGATTCTTATTGTTTTAAAGACCACCTGATGAAATCCATTCTTTAACCGCTTCAAACATTTGATGAATAGATCACTTCAGAACTTAAAAAGAAGTCGACAAACAAAGAAATAGCGATCACGTGCTAATATAGCCAAAAAACGGTGCCTTAACACAAGGAAACATATGTTGGTGGGATTTCAAGTATAAAAGAGAGATATCTATCATAATCAGCATCTTATCCCTCAACCACTTCTTACTTGATCAACCAGATTATCCCACTATCATGAAGGTGAGTAGTTTGTCCAATTTATCAACATTGTAGGCCCACTTTTCAAGAGTTATTTTAGTTTTCGTTCGATAAGGCAGTGATTTACGTAGATTATCAAACACAAGCAGTGACTGGAAGTACCATCAAAATGATATTATGTTTCCGTTATGTTTGATATTTGACTGACAAAGAAATTCCAGGTTTTCATTCTTCTCGCTGCCGTAGTAGCCACTCTTGCCGTAGAATTCAGAGCCGAGGACCTCACTTATCAAGTGGAAGATGGCCCCTTGATGAATATCTTCGATATGATCCAAAAACTAATGGAAATTGGACTGCCCGTTGTCTGCGGAACTGAGGTTGGAGAACTCATCGATCAGCTCAATCTACCTCAAGATATCATTGGACTTCTCAACATGGCCAAAGCTATTATCTGCCCCAAGTAATTGTTAAGAAATCGATAAATGTTTTTATTTGAAAACTTAAGATATATTTCGATTTTTATTTTTATTGCATAGACTACTGGATCACAGTAAAACATTCAAAATTGTGACAAAATTGAACTAATCCCTACTTTATCTGCCCGAAATCTAGAGTAATCATCTCAATCAGCTGACAGCTCCTAGGAATCCTATTATAAGTCTAGACTCTAAAGGCTGATGCAGTAATGAATAAAATGAAGCGATCCCCCTCCAGATCTATTGGTGTGCATATCATACTAAAAACAGTGCCCCATAAAAGATTAAAGACGATTAATAGTCTAAGGAGGTGGAATATGGATGGCTCCAGCTGGGTAGTTCAGAATATTTTAAAATTTACTTATTTTATTGACAAACAAGGCTAACTTTTCGTTTACAGTAGTTTTTCATATGTATACACTAATTTAGTCTCCGACTTCAGCCTGCATAATAATCTGCTTATGCGAACATTATACTCGCTCAGCGTCTCTAAAAGAAATGGGCATAATGTTAAACAATAACTCTTCTTAAAAATTTCATTTAATAAAGCCCGTACCGCAGTCTGTACGATCTTTAGAAGCTGAGGTCCAGTTTGGCTTGAAAGTCAGAGAGTGAAAGATGGGCGTAATTTTGTATTTAATTAAAGATTGAGCAATTTTTAAGTGCAGTGATTCTCTTTGTTTTTAAGACCACCTGATGAAACCCATTCTATACAAACTTCGACAATTTGAAGGGATTTTAGATGTCAAAGGAATTGCTAACACGGATGTGCTAATTTACCCCAAACAGGTGGTTCAAGACAAAGGAAGTTAAAACTTTAAAAAACTGCGTGAAATCAGACAAGTCGGGTAATGGACGATCTAAAAAATATTCTTCATATTTTTCATATGATAATGAAGAATTATAGCAAAACACTGACCCGTTCACAACGTTTAGACTGGATAAGTGAATTAGCACAAGCGCAGGTGGGTCCGGGTACCTGTTTTGGTAGGTGGGATTTCAAGTATAAAAGAGAGATATCTATCATAATCAGCATTTTATCCCTCAACCACTTCCATACTTGATCAAAAAGATTATCTCATAATCATGAAGGTGAGTAGTTTGTTTCATTGATCAACATTGTAGGCCCACTTTCCAAGAGTCACTTTAGTTTTCGTTCGATAAGGCAGTGATTTACGTAGATTATCAAACACAAGCAGTGTCTGGAAGTACCATCAAAATGATATTATGTTTCCATTATATTGATGTTTTGATATTTGACTGACCAAAAATTCCAGGTTTTCATTCTTCTCGCTGCCGTAGCAGCCACTCTTGCCGTGGAATTCAGAGCCGAAGACCTCACTTATCAAGTGGAAGATGGCCCCTCGATCAACATTTTTGAGATCATTCAAAAACTGATCGAAATTGGACTGCCCGTTGCCTGCGGAACTGAGGTTGGAGATCTCATCGCCGAGCTAAACCTACCTCAAGAGATCGTTGGACTCCTCAACTTGGCCAAGTCAATCGTCTGCAAGAACTTCTGAGAATCTACGTGACTAATGACTATGATGGAAACAATCTAATATTTTGTTTGATCATTCGAAATCTTAAAACAACTTAGAATTTTTTCTTGTAAATTTATAGAAAATATCTCGTACCTGTTCTCTTTTCCCATCCGATAGCTGTTAGTCTGTCCAGAGTCCCAGTGAACTCTGACCCAACCGTCAGTTGCAACCTGAAGAGAAAGGAAATTTTTTAGAAGAAATAAATCCACTTTGAGATAACAAAATTGTCTTGCTAAGTACGAGTCATTTCTAGCAGATTAGCACAGTAGGGAAGTATAGCTCATTAACAGATGTGTAGTCACGGTTTACTATATCACTGAGGCAAGTCTAATATTAGAAATACAGTAGATTCAAACCTCGCTGATAACACAACCCTCCCCTGGGGGCTGGCCGTCCTGTTCTCCCCACTTCCAGTCGGGTCCTCTCACTACCCGCACTCCAGGCTTCAACAACTTAGCCACTTCACCCCCTGAACAAATAATAATTTATCAATTTTCAAAATCACAAAGACTTCAAAAAGATCACAAATACACAGCATATGAAATTCTAAATTCTGTGCTACCTCCGGTTACATACCTGACATGGGAGGTGGAGGTGAGGGTCTGGGTGGAGGTTTCACCTCTTCAACTAGAGACAGCACGACTTTGTTACTGCTCTTCATCCTGATTACACGGGGTTAAGAGAAGAAGTAGATTGGTTGATGCTGTTGTAGTAGGAAACTCATTAACTTGTCGTATTTTATTCTTCTTGTAGTTATAAAACTACAATCAGTATCACACTTCAATCTTATGATTTCTAGATAAATAACCTCACCATCACATATAGTCAGCTATTAAAAACACTCACTTGTACTGGCCCAGCAGTCTAGAAACTGTCTCCGACAGGCCCAGTATTCCATTGTTCAGAAGCATGGAAACGGAGGACGGGCTCTGACTACAAGATAACATGGTCAGACACATCAAGAAGAACTTGCTGTGCACATTGGAGCTTATTATTTCGTCTCTGTCACCCTCGGGCGGTTTGCAAGAGTTGGAGGTGTTCCCTCCACTGGGAGAATTCTCGATCAAGTCCTGTAAGGTACTCAGGTACTAGAGTTGTAGGTTATCAGATAGAGAATATATGGGTACTTATTCACTCCAATAGACGGAATGATTCACAATTGAAAAGATTTGTAATATTTTGCTTAGCATCAGGCACCATCTCTGCTTCGAACCTGAACTATACAACTATGCAGAGTGAGCGGCATGTTACTAATTGAACCATTACCTCGAGGGCTAATAAGGATTCCCGCAATTTACACAAGGTCCAATGATCAATCTTTTGAAAGCTGAGGTCCAGCAGCAGTCTCTCGTTGGCTGGAATCAGGTTAATGTTGTCCATGTAGTTCAACAGGGGACTTGGGTATTCTCCAACAAGCCCCATCCAGCCCTTCAAGATAAAGTACTGTACTGATTTCGTCATGTTTGCTTCCGATATCAATGACATGAAAAACTCCGCCCCCTCGAGCCTTTTCTGAGCTCGAAGGACCTGAAGAATTGTTCTCATTAAGTCTGGAATAGTGCCAAGTATTGGCGTAACTACCTCGATACATATTAAATCTCTGAACACCACATTGTAACGGCTGGTATCGAACCGCGTTAATATACAATAAACAAAAAATAACGTTCAAATTCATAGTTCATTCTAAAAAGCAAGTTTCATTATTTAATATACGTACGTGCGTGAATTGCGCGCAACTAGTACCATAAATTGTTTCGCGCGTTCCAGTACGCTAGTTATGTAGACCGTTTCGTTTGCAAAAAGCCATACTTCAGTGAACTTCATATTATACTTCCGCACCAATACAAAATATTGCAACGAAGTCACAGCTGCAACGTCGGGTATCAATGAAGACTTAAAACAAATATTTTTCCGAGAAATGCCAAATGTGTATCATACCAAGACAGGCACACACACACATTTGACAAAACTCCAAATCATCCCTTGTCTATTATATATCCCCTTGTAAATAAAAACATCAAACTCTAATTTCTTACCTGACGCTGTAGTGCATATCTTAGCTTGGCGATATCTATCTTATTATCTGACAGCACAAAGTCCATGATGCGCATTATTATCTGCATTTCAGTTGACATGCTGCCCATTCTATCTCTTAACCACCTGAAAATGGGGAGATAGTTTTAAAAAATATAGTTCAAGTTGAATATTTCCACTATTTGGCAAGAAGCCATAGCATGGCAATGTCCGTTACTATACAAGTATAGAATATAACGATATATATTATATATACCTTGACCTAGTTGCACCAACCGTATCCTTTTACAGGTGTGAATGGTTGTAAAAAGTTAACAAATTTGGTCTTTAACTCAAGTTTAGTAACCGAATACTCAACACAACCAGCCAATACACAAAGGCTGGATTTGCATTATACATATAATACGAGATAGAATACTTCATTTCATGATCCAACACGATGACTGACACACACCGTGTAGATCTACAAGAGTAATTTGTACACCAGATCTCCTAACCTAAGCCCCTATAATAATGTGATTGACAATTATTTACAGGGCTGGTAACTGACTGTCAGTGGTAGAACACGCCAGGTAATTGCTTGCTATACTGTACCAGTACTCAGTAAAGGGTATGAAGCGTGTTACAAATTAAATACCTAACAGATTGAGCCGATCTGAGAGCCCCTTTAACGGGAGTAGAGAGATTGGAACCAGTGCTGGTGCAGGGAGTGGGACTACCAGGGTGGGACGTTGTTGGGGTCGTCTGAAATGTGGCACAAGTTAAAGGATGAGGGGACCTTAGAAAAAGTTTTTTTCTCGTGCAAATCCTTTTATTACATTAATCATAAAAACCACTTTAGTGAAATCCGCAAAGTTGTATTTCATTCGCGCGCCGAGATATCCAGCCAAAACAATTTGAACCTGTGACGTCAATTATGTGAGTTGCTCTGATCCGCGCATATAGAAATACAGGTAAAATGAGCGTGCGGGTATATTTATAGCTCCCAACGTAACACCTAGCAACTCCCTGTATTGTATCACAGTTGATATATCAACATGTCATATCAACACAACACGGTCCTAATAAAAATGGATCGGGTAGGTATGAAATGCATGTCTTCATTCCAGTTGGACAAGCACCAAGCAGCAAGCTTTTAAGTTCTAACTCGCAATGAGACACTACTTATGACGTAAGCAAGATTTGCAACTATTACACCAAACAATATTATACCAGCATAGCAGACGAACACATCCACATTCGTTACGCTTTACACTCAAGTCACAGCAAACTAAAACGGTAAATTATAAATGAGTGTACAACTAAAGGCCGGTACACGCTCAGTGTCAAACCGCACGTGCGCACTCAGATAGGACTAGAGGCGCCAAGGGCCAGCTAGTAAAATGTCTTCTACTACATCATACATTCAATCGATTTTTAGATTGTGTCCATATCGGGTTTCAAACAAGTCAAAACAAAATAGCAGTTTGTGGTTTAGCTAGCGAATGCTACTTATCTTAGCTATTTATAAATAGAAATACCTACTACAACTAGAAGAAAGCCTTTCTGAGTTACATTTAACTATTAATGAGAATTATTCGTAACTTCAAACTTAGACTAATTCAGTGCAACCAAAGATACCGCTCTCGCAAACGCCAAAGTAACACGACGTAATTAAAACATGAGAACAGAACAAAATGTTGACACGAGCGAAGGGTGTGCGCGCACGTTGGTCTTAACACATAAGTGACGTCACAGCCCAAAATTGCTATCAGCCAATAGGAGCGCGGCGTGATATTGCACGAATTATCGATTTCACAGTCCGGCGTATTTTTTGATTCTACACACTTTCACAGGACTTAAACGCGAATATTTGGAAGTAAATTCTAAGGTCCCCTCATCCTTTAAAGTACAAGTCACCCATGCGTTAACATGTTAAAACTTATATAAGCTACAATAAAACACTTTACACACATTACACTTACGCTAGCTTTAGAACTGCCTGGTTTGCCACTCTTCAAGTTAGCGATGACACTTTCCACTGCGCTCTTGAAGCGTGTCTTGTTGATCAGCACGCTGTCTGCACACTCCTGCCGTCCTAGCACCGGTCTTATCTCCCAGAGAAGGAACTTGCAGCGCTCGATCACTGGCGCACACACCTGATAAGACATTAGGTTTAAAGACAGAGCGTTTATAAACGTTAAGTTTATAAAACAGAGCGTTTATAAACGTTAAGTTTATAAAACATAGTCCTGTTTTACTTAGTTTAAACACCAAGTTATGTACACATCCAATATTCCAATAAAAATTACTTCCAGTAAAGCAGTAACTGAGTAACTATGGTTAGTTTAATGTTTATATCAACTGTTAAGTAGTACTTGTGCTTGAAGACTGCTGGAAAGAAAGTTTAAGCAGTGATTTGTGTTTAACTTTGACACAACTTAAGCATGAACAATATGTAACTTAGTAACGGTTCATCTGTTCATATATGAAATGTTCGGAATCAATTTAGCTGCCTCCTTTATTCTCAATTTTAAAACAATCTCGGTTACGAATATACGGTAACACAACTTTTATAAGTTTATACGGTAACACAAGATAACCCGTGTGCTTGTGAAAATCAAAAGTTGACCCGGAATTCGGACAAGAGTCGCCCGACCCTATTAAACATGTATTTCTCAGATAATTTGTGTTACTCCATCAAATCTTATATGATCGATAGAGTGCATTAGTAGTGTATGAAAGATCACGAGCATATTACACAATGATGTACGTGGTTAATGGTTATTGCAAATACTAAGTATCTCTCTAGACCGTGTGGAATGTTAATCAGCTGGTATATGAGAGATAACAGGCTGATGTAATCAGGATACAATTCTGTTCGTAGTAGAAGTGATAACAGTGAGCTGTCAATTAAAGTTTTAATGCTATGTGCAATATCTTTTTATGGCTATTTGCCAAGAAAATGTCCGTTACATTTTGTTAAGTGTTGAAAAGATTCTCATTACAAGACATCATGTGATCCGAGTACATTATAAGCTGGTTAGCGGACATTAATACATTGCTTCAAGATCACGCAACAATGTAGTAAAGTGAAGGCTAGGTCTTGATAAGGACATTCTTGTCAGACCTTTATCTACACAAACATTCATTCACAAATGTAAGAAGATTTGTACTGTTATCTGTTATCAGTGGCAATAAGAAATGGGCAAGGAGAAAGGAAAATATAAAAAAGGTGATAACAATGTTTCTTTTATTTCCATTACAAAACTTGATCTCTGATAAGATAAAGTACGAGATTATGCTGTCTTCTGATTGATCTCCGGTACCTACCTCGTCGTACGTTAGCATGAGTTCCTGTCTGTTATGCATGAGGGTCTTCTTAGCTTGTTGTACCATCTTACACACTTCAGACAGTGTGTCGTTCATGTGAACTTGACAGTTTGTGTGCTTCATCAGGGTAGCAGTCAGCAGTGTGCCCATTCTGGAGTATAACAGGTTAATTGGTCAATTACTTATCAAAAAATGGTCACTTACGAAATCATCAAATCAATAATTGGCGGAGTATTAATTAAATGTTTGATTTAATCGTGATATTAGTATCTTTCTTGTTTATTTAAAGGACCAGTTAACTCAAAAAAAAGTTATCCTCATATTTTGACAGATTGTGACAAATAGCAAACTGAGCAACGAGTCGAAATTCCTAAATCTCTAACTGCTCTCTAACGCGTGTAATTACCGTTTGTATTATTTTGGCGATGACGTCATAAAGTCCCTTGCGCGCACAGAAGAGCTCGTGAGACTGTATTTTACAGGTAAAAATGGACATAATACAATGGTTCTCCCCCAAATAACTCGAAAAGTAAGTGTTTTAGGGTACATGTTGCTTCATAAGGTTGTATATAAACATGGCCATTCTGCACAATTTGCACCCATTCAAAAATCTGTAGGGCCTTCATGGCCCCAATTTACAAGATACCCATATTTTTGCATGATTTCTGGAAACCGGAAATCAGTTTTTCGCCAATAACTGAAAAAGTAAGCACTTTAAGGCATCTGTTTCTTCGTAAGTCATATATAGATATGCTAATTGCGGTTCTTTTGAACCCTGTCTAAAGACTCTATCACGATCCTATCGAAATGGGCTCAGCACCACGCCCAAAATGGTTTTTGGCAAATTTCTCGAAAGTAAGGATTTTAGGCCATGTGTTGCTCAGTAACTCCTATATAAACATGCATATGCCGCTTCGTTTCAGCCTATTTAGAAGTCTCTACGACCTTCAGAAGCAAAAGGTCGGTTACGTTATTGGGTCAGTATCGGCGTGGTCAATATGTCTCCAACCGAAAATCGTTTATTCATACTTTTGGGAAGGTCTTTGCAAAATTTCGTGAGTATACGAAAATTTGCAGGTTTCAATTCCATAAATGACTGGACTACACAAGTTTAGAGTTAACTTTAGAGAAACTCATAAATCATTATTATCTAAAATTAAGCTGTCAGTGTCCATGATCAACCTATGCACTATGACTACAATGTTTTACGTGAAAATTGAAATGTAAAAATCAGGAGTAATATAAAAAGTGTATTTTTAGATTAAAGTGCTATCTCATAGTTAAGAATTGTATAGATTAACGTTTGTCGTTTAGCCATCTAAGAATCGATCGTGCCGTAATACATATGGCCAAAGATAAATAGGGTCAAAGAATAATAGGGTCTTGGAAATTCTATAGTTGTTCAGTGGGTCGATTGACTGAACACGTTTGCACTTGGTATTTAAATTTTACCTGTAGTTTATTTATGGGTAAGTACCGATGATCATACAAGTAGGACGATAACTAGGTAAGTCAAATTCAAAACACTCTGCACACTGTACACTCCAATCAGTATTTAGCAGACCGGGTATTTTTCAGTTCCCACGGCACCGTTCTGATAGCGAGCTACTTCTACTAATGGTCCCATGAGAACGGCCGTAAAATTAGCCAGACTTCTTGTCCTCCTGTACTGTCTGGCACGTGTGGATTAAAGTAAGAAATTTCGCTATGCTAAAAATATAATTGCTCTCGGAACTATGTCTTTTAGGACAGCGAACCATTCGACTGCTCGCATTCTTCCGAACAACTGTAATATTATATTACAGAGTTACACTCTGATCAGCTATATTTAATATATAGCACATTATTTTGTGTATTAGTTTCATGGACTGGGGAAAAATTATCGGTACAGTCTCCCTTCGTTTTAATGAAGCAATGAAAACAATCAAAAATTATCACATATGACATAACTTGTAATAGCAGAAACTTTCTAACCGTACATTCCCAGCCACTGTTCAAGAACTTATGTCACTGTTTAAAATCCTGACGTGAGCACTGTACATCCAATCAGCTATTCATATAGTTAGGGTGATAGCCAAAACTATAAGGATTTTGGAGAACTAGGGAAATAGTCATAACTATAAAATTTGAGTGAGTTACACGTGTTTTATTGACGATGATAAACATTTGTGCATTGTATTACGCTATGCCAGCGCGCACTGAGGGACTTTATGACGTCACGCGGCCACAGCTTATTATTGCAATAACACGCGTTACACGTAAGTTAGAGAGTTGGTTCTTTCGGCGATACAATTTTTTACCAGTTTGTCACAGCTGATTTAAATCTTAGCCAAATTGGAGACTACAAATTTTTCAGTTAACTGGTCCTTTAAATGATTACTCAATAATCAATAGACAATATTATATACGGTTTCAATTATATCAATCATTGATCACATCAGAACATATTCTGCATATAGACTTATTATAGATGTAAATAGATGGTTTGGTTAGGTTTCTACTGTTGACGGCTAGATAATAGTTTGTAAACGAGATCACGACACGAGAGTAAGAAGCAACAACACTTCATGCTGGAGAAACAACTTTGTGTCATAATCTTACATCACTCTTTGAAAATATCCAGGGGATGTTTAGAATAGAATTTTAGAAGGGAGTTTTGGAAACTATTTACTTATCAGGGGAATACAAATTTTACATTAAATACATTAGATTATAAATATTATTATATAAATAAACTTATTTTGAGGACGGAAGGTATTGAGAACTTACTTTTCGAGGGGATGATCAGCGGAAACGTTAGGGAATATAAACCTCTTCTCAGCGCATTGCTTTTTAACTTTCTGTGTGAAGCGAATAACTTCTTCCGTTTCGTCCCCGTTCACGTATGAGTGGAAAAACTCCGTCTGTGGATCCGTGAGGACCTCTTGTAGTTCTGGTAAAGTATATTATGAGGTGAGACATCGGTTATCTGTACAGTGTTGAGGTAGGATATTCTCCTTAAGTCTCTCGTGTATTGTAGGTGATAGATAAATTAATTGTAGGGACTTAGTGGAATGTTAAAAGAAAGTGAGCTTATAACGCACCCATCCCCTGAGAGAATATATCCTGAGAGAGACAGTTCTGAGCGCTTTGTTCCTCCGTAGATACCGGTGTTGAGTGTATCATCTCCTTAGCACAGAGTCCCTGAAGGGTACACTCAGGTTATTGTTATTTTATAGCGTGAATCTTAATTTTAATACTTAAATCTATCATCTAAATATTCTAATCTATTGTACTACTATCACATCAAAAGGACAGACCTGTACTTATCATACAACATTTTCAAAGCTGACGATCAGTCTAATCGAACATAGTTACGATTTTCGAATCACCCCATAATATATATAATAGGGAACTTTTATGATGGTAAACAATCAGTTCTCACGGCCGCGGCTCAAGGGAGTAGATACCTTGACGACACAGCGCTTTAAGGGGGCCGGGGGGGTCTTCATCGAAATTCTCTCGAAATTGATTTTATAGTTGTTTCTGATAGAGGGGAGTGATATCTATCAGCTGCTTTTGGTCCCATGGAAAAATATTGTTCCTAGTCGAAATTATCGCTGGTCAAAGGTCAGCGCTTATGTGTAATTGTATTGCGAGAGCGATTTTCAAACGCGCGCCCTGAAAATCGAGTCCAAAAATCTATCTTCTCCTACATTTTTTGAGCAATCGCCCTGAAACTTTCAGGATATGTTCTAGGGATCATTTATAACAGATCGAATTTTGAGATAGGCCTTAGAACATTTTTTATTTGATTTTGAAAATCTTGGACCTCATTTTTTGACGATTTTTCCAGGTCCAAGATTTTCAAAATCGAATAAAAAATGTTCTAAGGTCTATCTCAAAATTGGGCTCCACAGATCTCTTATAAATGATCCCTAGAACATATCCTGAAAGTTTCAGGGTGATTGCTCAAAAAATGTAGGAGAAGATAGATTTTTAGACTCGATTTTCAGGGCGCGCGATTGAAAATCGCTCGCGCAGTACAATTACACATAAGCGCTGACCTTTGACCAGCGATAATTTCGGGTAGGAACAATATTTTTCCATGGGACCAAAAGCAGCTGATAGATATCACTCCCCTCTATCAGAAACAATTATAAAATTAATTTCGAGAGAATTTCGATGAAGACCCCCCCCCCGGCCCCCTTAAGTGGCTATCACACGCGTTATCTCGCACGCCAGACGCGTTAAGAGCCAATTAAATTTCACAGATTTACTCATGTTCAACCAATTAATACATGATCCAAATACCAACAGGGGTTAATAGTAAATACACATGTCCATTAAAGCTAAATAGCTCGAATAACAGTATATTGTTATAACTCCCTTACTCGGGAATATTATAACCGGGATAAAGTGGTGGGTTTTGGAAGATTCCGCCATATTTTTCCCGGTCAAAAATTTTACCAGTCATAAAAAAACCCGCCGACTCAGATTATGGGGTTCTAAGGGGGTGGTGATCATCATATTTTACCTGGAGTCTCATATGTGCTAGAGAAGACTTTTGAAGCAGTGGATGGAGGGCTGTAACTTTATTGGCGGTTGCTACCATAATTTCGTTATAAAAATCACAATTTGGTTATAGAAATCAGATTTCAGGGTGGACCGTGATTCTCACTTCTCTTGCCCATGAATCAGTGAATCGTAGAGAAGAAAATAATTTATATGTTATAGAATAAAACGAAAATAATAATAATAATATATAAATACGTACCTCACCTTTGCAACACGAGCTCGGAATCGGGAGCTCTCGATACGAGAGGTACGTATCGTAAATGACTCGGACCGAACATTTTCTAAGTCAACATTTTTCAAAGTTTTTCTGAGAACCACTTTTCTCCACGTTTTATGATACTCTGTTCATTATCGGCCGAAAATATCTTTTTTTTAATAATTTTTCTCGAAAAATGACTCGGGCCGAAAATTTTCCAAGTCAAAATTTTCCAAAGTTTTTCTAAAAACCACTTTTCTCCACGTTTCATGCTACCCTCTTCATTATTAGCCGAAAATATTTTTTTGGTTTTTTCGGTTTATCGAAGTCTGCAGTGCGAGCTTGTTTCGACTGTCGAGGATGAAGGTCTCGATGCTCAGTGCCTATTACTCTCCCCTATTACTCACTCCTGCTCTGCCGTTTTCTGACAAAAGTGCTTAAGTAACATTTTGGAAATTTCGGGTGTTTTGGTCTAACTTTTGTTTTTGGGTCAAGAACTATCCCTGAGGACCATTGGATACATTCGCCGACCCCCCGAAACCCCCTTTTTGGAATCCCCTAAAATGCAAAAAATGGTAATTTTTCTGAGAAAAGTGCTTAAGTAACATTTTGGAAAACGGGTGCCGTTTATTTCAAAAATGGTGCCATTTCGGGGACTGAAAATGGTGGCATTGTTTTCTACGTCCAAAACTGGCCTAGTGACAGCAATTTGGTGATCGTGGGTCTTTTGGCCTGGGAGAAAACAATTTATGTCACTTAAGCACTTTTGTGAAAACGGGCTCGTTTTCTCACAAAAGTGCTTAAGTGCCATTATACGTTTAATTAAATGTTGATTCTGCCAACTGAAACTATATAATCGGTACTAACAAATCTAAATTTCCACGACGTATCGATTGGTGATGGTCATAAACTTCAGAAACGCCAGCTTCGCCGTCAAAATTGCCGATTTGTCAATGCAGAAAGTTAAAAAATATACGTCATAATTTGCTTTAAAATTTTTTATTCTCTTATAAGTTGAGACTGGCGGGATTATCGACAGGCAAGGGAACATTACCAAAGAGATAGAAGCGATTTGCCTCACTGCTCCTTCTCTGTTGATATGGAGAAAGTTCTTACTTCTTTTACTACCACACATGCCGGAGTACAAGGAGGCGATTTTTACAAGACGCCTTGTCACATTTAACGAGACCTTCGCGAGGCTGGGGTCAGACGGAGCTCCTTTAGCGATTCTTTGGAATGAGTTAATTGCAGGAAGGAAAGATGAGAATGTGTCCTTGACTTGGATAAGGGCAATAAAACATTTTGTCGCAGGCAAGATTGATGGTAGCAGGGAGATCATTTTTTGGGCAGACAATTGCTCTGCTCAAAACAAGTGTTGGACTTTATTTACTGCCCTATCACTATGTTCAATTATCAACAGCCCAGATGTTGACCTGGACAAGATAACGGTCAAGTATCTAGAGCCAGGGCACACCTTTATGAGTGCAGACTCATTCCACCATAAAGTGGAGTTGTCCATTAAACAATCAGGTCATCTTCATGATTATAAGGACTTTGTTCAGGCAGTTGGACAGGTGGGTACTGCGATAAGCATGAACTGCACAGACTTTGAATCGTGGCCAAGGTACTACGGAACAAGCAACCGTTGTAAAACTGAGCGACCTCTCTTAAAAGATGTTAAAGTTGTAAGTTTCCAGCGTGGGTCTGTAGAAGTGGAATGGAAAACAAATCATGACGAGGTTTCCTTTCATTTCACTCCATTTCTCAGACAAAAAGACGAGAGACTCATTTCCATAGGTTGCAAAATAGCTTTCGCCCAGGAAGAGCCCCGGGGGATAGCTACTCCCAAAAAACAAGACATTATACGTAAACTGCACTGTGCAGGCTTATGGCCCCGAGTAGTAGGGTATTCTGGATGAACTTGCCTGATAGTACAGATATAATATAACAGATCTTAATCGAGTGTTTGACTAAAAATCATCTATTTCTTGTATTATTTACCATTTATTTATGTACAGAATTACTTACAATTAAATGTTACATTTTTATACGCTTGTTTTTCTTTGCCTCGCGTTACGATATCAATAATTCGCAAATCATTGGTCTTTATGAAGAAAGCCTCATCTGAGTTCTTAATTTAATTTCTAAAGAAAGAAACTTATTTATTATTATCCCGTACTTTCACCAATCACCTCTTCGTTGAAATGCTGGTAGAATTCCGACTATTTTTTAATCCGCTGGGGAGAAGGGAGTGTTTTTGTGTTCTTGAACCACCACCAATCAATTTGTCGTAAAATTTTAGGTCAGAATGATCGCAGATAAAGTTCCCACTAATGTGGCTGTACTTAAGCACTTTTCTCAGAAAACGAAATTTTCAAATTTTCTATTTCAGCGTGTCCCCTATTTACAACCAATGTTTCATCACAACAGTTTTAGGCTAATTTTTTGTTTTACTTTCGATGACCAATGGTTTGAACGGGTCATTTTCATCAGAACATGGAGCTTTTTCTGATGTGGCTGTACTTAAGCACTTTTCTCAGAAAACGAAATTTCAAATTTTCTATTTCAGCGTGTCCCCTATTTACAACCAATGTTTCATCACAATAGTTTTAGGCTAATTTTTCGTTTTACTTTCGATGACCAATGGTCTGAACGGGTCATTTTCATCAGAACATGTAGTATTTGCCGATGTGGCTGTACTTAAGCACTTTTCTAAGAAATTCAAACTATAATTTGTGATTTTGAGGCACTTTCCGAGAAGTTAGGATGATGAAACCTTGTCATAAGTCTCAAAAGTCGACAAAGTACCTTTGAAACATAGTGGGTGTAGTTTAAATTGGACAGTAGCTAGCCCAGAGCAATTACAGAATTGAAATCTTTAAAGTCAATTTGCACAAAATGAACCTTGTGTTACTTAAGCACTTTTGTCAGAAAACGGCAGTGCTGTAGCATCTAGTAGCCTACTATGAGCTTTCATAAGCTTGTTACGCCCCTAGTAAGCGTAAATTGATTGAAATAAATTTTCGTGCACATACAGAATGAATGGTTAATAATTTAATATATATGTAGACCAAGCTCTGTGCACGGGATGCTTCCTGGAAGAATCCAGTTCTTTTAGCGGGGCACCCTACCTAAAGCCAAATTGAGATATAATAATCATATTCCTAGAAGGCATCATGTAGCCTCCAGGCTCGACAAACCCCGACAAACCCCGACAAACCCCGACATATCCTTCAACAAACCCCGACAGACCCCGACAAACCCCGACAAACCCTGACAAACCCCGACAGACCCCGACAAACCCTGACAAACCCCGACATATCCCGACAAACCCTGACAAACCCCGACAAACCCCGACAAACCCCGACATATCCCGACATATCCCGACAAACCCTGACATATCCCGACAAACCCTGACAAACCCCGACAGACCCTGACAAACCCCGACAAGACCCGACAAACCCTGACAAACCCCGACATATCCCGTCAAACCCTGACAAACCCCGACAAACCCTGACAGACCCTGACAAACCCCGACAGACCCCGACAGACCCCGACTATCCCGACAAACCCCGACAGACCCCGACAAACCCCGACATATCCCGACAAACCCCGACAAAACCCCGACGTGTCGAGATGTGTCGTATCATGTCGGGCCCACCGGCTACATGATGCCTCCTAGAGAAATAATCAGAAATCGAATACCAATCAAATAATATGATATATATGAGTAGTAACCATATTTACTATGCAAAATGCCCCAACCACATAGTGTAAATTTATATAGAATTCAAATTCCATATCATCATTAAACCTCAATACCTAGTCAATATAATAGCCCAAGCAAAATTAAATAACTTCTTATATACCTTACTGTCATACTACAAATTAATTAAACATTTGAAATCTGTTGACCAAATAAACATGTTAGGATGTCCAATTTAGGTGTTAAATGGTGTTAAAGATAAAATTTCGAAGACAAAATTCATGGCATTAAATGGAGAAAATGGAGAATTACTCATGGGTTTTTCCATTTTCTCCATAGAAAAAGTCTCCATTTTATGCCATTTTATGCCATTGACTTTTGGGGACTAATGGGGACTAAAAATCGTGGGGACTAGAGGTCAACTCGTTGACGTAATTCACCATTTGTCCCCATAAGTCCCCAGAATTTTTGACAGTTATTTATGGTTTTCAAGTTAGTTTAATAACCTGAGGTACTCTAACAGCCCTCAAGTAGCTCCCAAGAAGTCAGGAATGTCCAGTGACCATTTATAAATATTCTAGACTTCAGTCTTGAGAAGTTTACGATCTGGTCTGGAGAAGCCAGATTTTTTGAAATCTAAATGGGGACTAATGGAGACTTTTGGGGACTAATGGGGACTAAAAATCATGGGGAATTGACGTAATTCCCCAAGTCCCCAAAAGTAGTCATTACCCCCCCCCCCCCCCCCCCCCTGTGACTTTTGTAGGGTTCCAGACTGGATAGCAGTACTCTAGCTTAGAGCGAACCATGCTTTTGTATAAAGTCAGCATGACTACTTGTGACCGGTCTCTAAAGGCACTCAATATCCAAGCCGCCATTTTTCTAGCTCCTTGAACTGTCTTCTCAATGTGAGGACCCCATGACCTACTGCTGCTAACATACACTCCAAGATCTCTGACAGTTTCCTGTGGTGATATTGCGTGTCCTTTTGGTGTAGTATACTCAACAGTCTCTGGGTAGAACGGGAGCTCTCTTAGAGCTTTTGATCCATTCAGGGGGTAGTTTACAACCTCAAACTTCTGTTCGTGTAGCTCCATGACCTTTTGGTCTTCTGACGTATGCTGGCCTGATTAGATGGCCCATCATGGAATATTATTATATATATATTTTACTTTATGAATGTCATACTCTCTATAATTTGCCCCTCGCACCTGCAGTAGAACGCGCCGTTTTTTCTTTTATGAAACAACCCGAAACAAGCGCGTCACGCAGTACGTGAGTGGCTAGATTGTAGATTGTTTTATTATAATATTATTTAATTATGTTATTTTGTTGTTATGTCGTGTAAGTTTGTGGAGTAGTAGCAAGAAGGTATCGTATACATTTAAATTTGTTCTCTTGATTATTTATTAATGATTTTATGTAGGGTCGGCACCAATGTTATTATGGTCTTACCACCGTGTTTTGGTTCAGCCGAAATAAATTTTACGTTGATGTTTTTACAATTTGTTTCTCACTCCAGCTGAGTCTGGTAGTGTTGAGTATCATGAATATTTTTCTAGCTCTCTTTTTCCATGTTTTTGCTTCACAGGAGATATTGTGGTCTTTTTATTGAATATAACTGTAATACATTGATGTAAAGTTTATTTGAATTTTGAAATAAAAAAAATGTTGTTAACACGTGACCAATCGATGACTATGTTGAGATCATCTTGCAGTAACTCCACACTACTCATTCCTCGGATAGCCCCAATCAGCTTTGTGTCGTCTGCAAAGCTGAATCCGTTACTATAGCTAATGCTGTTCAACAGATCGTTGATGTACAGTTAATTGCTTACAGGATATTGCTTACATTTATTTTCCTTTAAATAGACGTGTCTTTTTTTCTATTTCTGAGTAATATCAATAACTGTAAATTGAAATAACTTCTTTAACAAGTAACAAAAACAGAAATTTCGGTTGAAAATTTGTTGACCTCTGAAAAAAAACTTGAAAGGTCGGCCACCGGTAAATACATGACCGGGATAATTTGGCGGGTTTTGGGAAAGTCCGCCATATTTTTCCCGGTCATTAATTTTCCCAGTCATAAATTAACCCGCTATAATATTCCCGAGTAAGGTATATTGTCAAACAGCTACAAAACGGAACAAACTCTAGATTGGTCCCTTCTAGAACAATTAAAATTACATACCAACAACAAGGCTAGACTCCGTTCAATATCAAGACAGTGAGCTACAATCTGCTGTTCCTCGTTTACTTCACAGGAAGTGTTAGCCGGGGGACTCTCCTCTAGTATTCCCACAAGATAGGGGTGCAAAACTTGTGGGGGGTCAGGATACGAGGAACGGTTCTTTGTTGATGTGAGGTAGTCTGAAAATGAGGGCGTTATTGATGCTGGCCGGGATTTTGTAATCGATCATTTGTAATAATGTATATGCAAAGAATTATCATGCTTACATATTTTTGTAAAATAATGCTTTAATTGTTTGTCTGAAACAATTAAAATAGGCATTACTGGAACTCCTACCGGCGCTATCTACCAACCATTTTAATCTGTTTTTTAAAACTCATAATTATAAAAATACTTCTACACATCAGCAGTTCTATTCAATGATACACAACTCATTATTAATAAAGAATTCCTGATCACGCGGAAAAGGTCTTCACGTTTATACAACTTTTCACACGCAGCCACGAAGAGACAGTAACATCAAATGTTAAGGAACAATATAAAAGGAAAATTAACCTTCAACAATCTTGACATCAGCAGGAAACTCTCGGGATTCCGCGTAGAAATCTCCGATATTGTAAACTTTCCGGTTCAGGATAACCCAGTTGCTGTTCTCCTTCTGTTCTACTTGTTGTAGAGATAGGGTTGGCAGAACCTCTGTGTTTATCTTGCTTAGCTCTGAGGAATGGGGCATATATTAGAGTAAGTCTTCTGCGTTTTTATGTTCAAGTGTTCAGTAGCTGTTCTAATAGCCTTGCCACTTAATGTTCAGCAAGCCGAGAATGGTTAATGAGAAAACTGTTAGATCCACATTTACAATAATTATAATAATGACTTTCCAACTGGCTGTTTTAAAGATAAAACTTGTCATGCCGCAATTTAAAGTTTTTGTGTGTGTGTTGCTTATTATTGTAACCATGTAAATAATGATGTCATCATGGAAAAGTCTTCGTCAATTAAACAAGAGAGCAGGCAGGCAGGCAAATAACCATTAAATCATAAAACCTGGATAAATTAAAAACCACTTATTATTATCACTATTATCACTTAATGCGGTAATCTGCGCCTATCAAAATGGTTGGAACATTTATTGCAGGCAGGCAAATAACCACTTAATCAAGTTAATAAAGTCGAAAGTCTTAATAATATTATAATAATATAACAATACAATAATGTTACTGATTAATGTTACTTATGTTACTTAATGTTACTGATATAGATACACTAGATACACTACAATAATGTTACTGATACTGTTACAATAAGGTTTTTGGTTTCAGTTCATAGAGCTACACGCCACATATGTCCAGGTTCATTATAATATATATAATGTAGGACTTCTAGGCAATGTGCTTGGTTGTGGGATACACTAAAGCACTAATGTTCCTGATTGCTAAGATAAACACAGAGAACCCAACCTTAGATAACCAGTTAATTTCCAGTTATATAATCTTACAAATCATGAATAGTTCCTGTCTGATAAGCTTAACAATTCACCTGAGTTGAGGTTAAGTCCACTCTCGTCATTCAGGCTTGGCAGGGAGAGGTTGAAGTTGTTGAGTGTGACCAGCAGGTTCTTGAGCTGTGTCATGTTGCCTGCAATCAGGTTCAGGTATTTACATGGTATTTACAGGGTTTATAATGTGATTATGATATTGGAACACACTAGCACCTGCCTTATACGGTGAAAATTGTGTCCACACCATGTTAGTTCAAGTAGTTAAATAGGAAAACTGTAATCTACTGAGAGTAGGGAGGCCCTAGGGACCATCAGAAATCAATATGCAGCAACTCTGATAATTAAATCTGGTTAAATCTAGTACAGGTAACGAGCCCGATATGAATACCCTGTTTCATTAGATTTCATACTTACAAGAAAGGACGATGACCGCAACTCGTTTGAGCTGGAGTAAGACTAGGTTGTTAACAAAGTCAGGGAGGAGGACCCCAATAGCTGAGCCATGTAGGATGGGGATTAGAGTTGGAAACAGGGCCGGGTTAGCTGTCATGATCTCCGTGAACACTGTTAGAACTCTCATGCTCTGAATAGAACGGTAATTAATTATTCAATTAGTTAATTGAAGTAGCCATTTGATCAATGACTTTGCTTCTAGAAATTTAAATTTAATTTTTTATTTAAATTTAAGAATTGGCGAAATTCTTAAACTGAGAGACTAGGCGAAATGTCGGTGAAATTATTGAACTGAGATGGATTAAAGAGAGACAAGTAGACTACATACATAGTTTCCTAGGACACAGACTGATTTTCCAAACGGTAACATTTAAATAATATCATAATAATTTCATAATACATGTAGAAACAGAGAAACTTTATTATCATAGTCATTATCCTCTGAGTAAATCAGTGTATTTATAATACTCATTTATAAATGAGTATTTAAAACTTGCAAACCTCGTTGCAGATCAAGTTGGTGTACTTCTGAAGCAACATCTCTGCCCCGAACTGTAACCCCTTCTCCTCCTCGTCCTCGCACGCTCCCTTGGGACGCGCACGTCCGGAGTTACGTGCTTGACGCGGCATTGAGAGGAACCAGCTGATGAGTCTCCATTGGAAATGGAAGAGGAGCTTTACAACTGATGTGTCCTCTTCTGGGGAGGGTACTGTCTGACCTGGGGAGGAGAATAGTCAATTAAAGAGTAATTCATAGCATTAAACTGGCATAGTAAGTTTATTACCTCAATTCAAATGCTAGTATTGTAATATAAATGGTTTATTTGTTAACCCACAAAACACATAAATATCTGAGAAGTGACAAACCAGTAGCAGCAGCCTGGAGCAGTCCGATACAGTCAGCAGAACTGGAGGAAATGAGGATCTGTATGAGGTTAAGAAGAGGGTTACCACACAGGGCATCCTTATCTTCGTCATCTTCTGATACTTCTGTGGGGCAGTTGTAACTTAGGGATATAATTTAACGTGGCCAGAGTATTTTATGACGTAAGTGTTTGCTGTGAAGGTATTTCATACTCAGAAAGTGACCTGAACATGATAAGTAATCGAGTTTAACATTAGGCTTTTAATAAGCCTAGCAATATCGTACGTTTCTTGCTTTTTTCGTCGGTTTTCCCGAAATGAAGCTCGTTGTTGATGGCAGAAATAAGAGAGTTATGAAGTTCCCATGGAGACAATAAACTCTCAATAAGGAGTCTGAACATGAACTTCTGCCCTGGAGTCTCGGACCCATCACAAATACTGGGTAACATCTTAGCTCGCTCGTTCACCTCCTTTAGCAGGATCATCCAACCTAACGGGAAATTATGTATATTTACATTTCCCGCAACAATCGATAATATCTAATAAATAAGGCTGATTTGATAGTAATATTTATAATTAAATGTTCCAAATAACAGTTAATCTCTAAACTGACCACTCTTGAGAGTATTCTGTGCACAGAGCTGGATATCAGTGTTAACACTAGGATCAGTAGCAAGGAACACCACACGTTCCTTGACAGTGGTGAGGAGAGGTGGAGGGAGGAGGAGAGTTGAGTCTCCCTCACACACTGCAGCGTGAAGTTGCAGAGTTAGCAGGTTCAGACACGACACTATCAGACAGATCTGAGGGGCAATGTCACGTGTCATAAATATGTGAAGTCGTGGGGGTGTAGTTTTAAGGTTAATTTATTAGGACGCAATGAAACTACCGGACCACGATGTATGGGGACTTACCACCCCATGGCAACATTAAAATATATCTGTTACATCGTTTCCTGTTAATCTGGCAATACTACACCTTAGTTCAATAAAATATTGTGTTAAATTTAAAGATATAAGTATAACTAGAATCTCGAAAAAGTAAGATACGCTATTAGTGAGTAGAAATTGAAACATTTATTTCCACTCACCTCATCTTTAGTTGGGTTCAGCCACCCCTCACTCGCAATCCCATCACAAACCACAGCTAGCAACCCCGCTAGTTTCTCTATCGTTCCTATGGAAACGTTCAGACAGAAGGGTATCCTGGTGCCGATAGAGGCGTGCTGCGCGGCGGACCAGGCCAGGGTGTGGTGGGGACCACACGCTATACCCCTGATCTCGTGACCTATTAGTGAGGACACCTGGACTGCTTGTGTGGTGCTAGGTAGGATGGTAGTTCCGTTACCTGGGAGGGAAATTCATTGTTCAATACAGAGATATGACTATATCAACATTGAGTTGTCCTGTGGCAAGTTTATAAAATTGGGCTAACAAGCAATCATAACAACTTCAAATGATCACTCCAGTATAATAAGCCTGACAATGCTCAAGTTAAAGTATAATGTAATCTACTAACCGAGCTGTCCCTTGTCGTTAGAGCCCCATGTGAGCACCACACCCTCAGTGGTGAGCAGAACACAGTGGTTGTACCCCACAGATATCTCCGCTATCTTATGTGTGCCAGTATTTAGAAGAGCTGGCTCCTTCACGTGATCTTCCTTGTCAGGAACTGGCACCATCCTCTTACCCCACCAGTACACTTTACCGTCCTGTTATTTGTTATTGTAACCTTTGTTAACATCTGACGCTTACAATATTATTATCTTATCTTTCAGCCTTAACTTCTTTTTAAACTTAATGCTATTTAATCTCAGGTTTAACAGAATTTGCTTCACAAAACAAATGTACTCGACAGATTTAAACACTGTAGTCCTAAACTTTAGTCCACACCTTAGAAAGAGCCAGTGAGTACTGAGGACCAGCGTAGACATTACAAGCCTCTTTACCGTTCATCTTCTCAACTACTTGAGGGACTGCTGAGCTGTTACACGAGCCTGAGAGAGAGAGCGAGGTAACATTACCTTATATCTTTATATGGTAGTGTAACCATAGTAACACTACCATATAAGGTAATGTTACACAAGCCTAAGAGAGAGAGGTTGGAGTAAGAGAGATAGTTTCAGATAGTTACACTACACAATATAAGAGAGCAATGTTTGTTTTACTTTAGTCATTGGTAAACAGTAGGGACCGTCCTCCATTCAATCTACATTGCTAGTAATATTATATTATACATGTTATTTACAGTTTCTTAACACAAACATACCTTGATAAAAGTAAATATAACACTCTGGAGAGAGATGGATTGTGATGGTGAACTCCACAGCGTTTAATATAATCAGCCATCTATAAGACACCTAGCGTTTACCAAACACACTACATTTACTACTGATTATATCTCTAGCTGTATACTAACCACATGTTAGATAAGCCAGTGTACAATGAGCCATGATAACTAACCTCGGCCAAGTTTACCATAGTCTCCGTCTCCCCAACTCCACACTTTACCGTCACTGCTGACGGCGAGGGTGTGCGCGTCTCCGCTCCCACACGCCACACTCACAAACTCAACGTGCTCCACTTCCTGAGGTGGTGGGTCTTTTAAACGTGTTTATAATTACAGTATATAAAGTGTTTTTGAAGGAATCTTCAGCTAATTTTAATTGTGATGTTTTTCATGTGACGAATGGAATAATGGATGGATCAGTTTTTCCTTTCATATTTTGTGGTTCAAAACTGTTAGATTTCGAAGGAAACGAATAGTCCAGTTACTCCATTCTTTGGGTTCAAATGTTTCAAGAATTTTGTGAGTATCTCTATGAGGTCGACTTATCCAACAGAAATAAAGATAAAAGACCATTCTTCTTCATCAACATAATTTACACTCTTCTCTATTTACTCAAGATCATGGACTTTGACAGTATTTATACCTCATGATATCAAATTACTTCATAAATTTTACCACCGTTTGTCTTGTCTGACAGACTCACCGGAAAATTCAACATTTGTTACGAAAATATAATTTCCTTAAATCATGAAAGATAACAAAAGCATAAGACATTATACCAGAAATTGAATGAAAAATGTTACTGCTGGAACTTTTCTGAAGGTTCCTTACAGTTGAAATTCCAACAACAAGACCCCGGTATCTCACTAACCTTGGTAACTTTGGTAGGAACCATCTTATCGTCGTTGTTGCCATGTCCCAACCTCCCATACTTGCCTTTACCCCACGTGTAGAGCGCGCCGTCCTCTGTGATGCACGCGCTGTGTAGACTTCCGCACGCTATATCTACTACCTGCAACACGTTGTCTTACATACAATGGACAAATTCTTAAAGGTCATACAAAATCTTACAGATCACAATGTTATTCGAACTATTGTAACCTATTAATCATTCATTTTGATTAATGCAGTGGGTGCAGTTCGACCGATGTAAATAATTTTACAGTACTACGAGTGGAAACTGTGTAAAACACAAAGTAAAGATGTGTATGGTACCTTGCTGTTACCGAGGGTGTTGACCCTGGTGGGTGTTTTACAATAACTGTTATCTCTGTTACCCAGCACACCTCCGTCTCCAAAGCCCCAACTATACAGCTCCCCCTGTGTCGTTATCGCCAGGAAGTGCTTACCTGAAATACATGTTAAAGTTAGGGAACTAGTACTCGCGTAACTGGTCTTGTTTTACAGTATCATACATTTTCAGCTCCAATATACTTTCCAGTTCAGTCATTTACTGTGAATCTGGCTTGGTTCTGTCCCGAAAAGGCTGTCCATTTGATTCGTAGTACTGCTTACACAGGGAATGTAACATCCAGCTCTCATACCACGGTTCAGAAGGTGGGAGTACGCCTCATTTTCAAGCGTATTTTCTTATTTAAACCAAGTGATTGTGTAATTGAGATATGGATCAATTCATAACTCAATTAGACATGTTTAGGAGTACACTAGACGAAATAAACTTTGAACACGTGAAATTTAATCAGTTATCAGGGTAAAGACGGGTGCCCAAATACACAAATACACAAATACACAAATACATAGTACATGATATGATACTAGGTGAGATTATACGACCTCTGTTTTTAGCGTTTATTCAACACAACTGGTAACTAGGGTAACCACAAATTGTCTCTAATGAATGTTAAAGTTACAGCTATAAAGGTAACACTTCCTTTAGATATCTAATATGAAGATTACTTTAGCAATTGCTGAATCGTTCATATTGCCCTGCATATTATAGATATTGTCTGTGCAATACCCCTCCATAATACAATCAATATCGCCTGTGTTTCTGAGCTGTGTTTGTGTTTCTGAACTGTGTTAAGATCTGTGTTTCTGTTTCTGAGCTGTGTTAAGTTCTGTGTTTCTGTTTCTGAGCTGTGTTAAGATCTTTGTTTCTGTTTCTGAGCTGTGTTAAGATCTGTGTTTCTGTTTCTGAGCTGTGTTAAGATCTGTGTTTGTGTTTCTGAGCTGTGTTAAGATCTGTGTTTCTGTTTCTGAGCTGTGTTAAGATCTGTGTTCCTGTTTCTGAGCTGTGTTAAGATCTGTGTTTCTGTTTCTGAGCCGTGTTAAGATCTGTGTTCCTTTTTCTGAGCTGTGTTAAATCTGTGTTTCTGTTTCTGAGCCGTGTTAAGATCTGTGTTCCTGTTTCTGAGCTGTGTTAAAATCTGTGTTTCTGTTTCTAAACTGTGTTAAGATCTGTGTTTCTGTTTCTGAGCCGTGTTAAGATCTGTGTTCCTTTTTCTGAGCTGTGTTAAAATCTGTGTTCCTTTTTCTGAGCTGTGTTAAAATCTGTGTTTCTGTTTCTGAACTGTGTTAAGATCTGTGTTTCTGTTTCTGAGCCGTGTTAAGATCTGTGTTCCTTTTTCTGAGCTGTGTTAAGATCTGTGTTTCTGTTTCTGAGCCGTGTTAAGATCCGTGTTTCTGTTTCTGAGCACTGTTAAGATGAATAATAACAACTACACGACGAGAGAGCTGTCCCTTGCCGCATCCAGGCAGCACCATTATAACATGACACATTGTAGTAGTTATCGTCACACATGTAATGCTAGTCAACTCATCTATTGTGTGCACTGTTCCCATACGTTACTCATTAACTATTCATGTGTCCAAAAGTAGTGCTAACTGCGGGGGGGGGGATGCAACGTCAATTAATGTCAATTAATGTCAATTAATGTCAATTAATGTCAATTAATGTCAATTAATGTCAATGTCAGTTTTGCAAAATTTTGGAATACTGACATTAATTGACACGATATTTTTCGACCAGAGATTATGTAGTTCTACCATATTTTTAGCACTTTAGAACATTTATATCATCAATTTATTCACTACTATCACATATGGAAATGTGAAATGTGAAAAAATTCAGATCATTAAACAATAAAACTAAAATAATACGGTTTTCCGAAATTTAATTTTCTTAAATGGGCGTGGCCATCCAAGGGCGTGGTTCTCAACATCATCAGAACTTAAAACCCACATTAAACGAAATGCCTTCATGACATTTATATTTGAATAACGAATCTTAAACAGCTAACATTACTCCTTCATACTAAAAAAGCCGATTCTAGATATTTTACCTGTATAAGAAACCAATAAAATATGGGCGTAGCCGGTGGGGACCGAAGATGGAAGAGTTGGAAGCTGAAATTTTTTTTGGTGGTCTTTGAACCTAAGGATCAACAGATAAGAACATACTCATAATTATTCAAGGACATTTTGTTTTTTTAAACCGGTCTAACTTACATAGACGTGAATATCTTGAATATTTATCGAAAAATGATAATTTCAAATTTCAAGACAAATTAATGTCAATTAATGTCAATTAATGTCAATTAATGTCAATTAATGTCAATTAATGTCAATTAATGTCAATTAATGTCAATTAATGTCAATGTCAGTTTGGGGTTTTTATGGAATACTGACATTAATTGACGTTGCATCCCCCCCCCCCCCCTAACTGCTGCTGACAATAAAGTGTGTGATGTAGAAAGGACAGATACATGCTCTGAGGAGACGTATTTATAGCCGCAATATTATTATGACTACAGCTATATACAGTTATATACTGCATATCTGGCATATCAAGAACTGTAACACAAGGGAAACTTAATTTTATATTTCTAATCAGTATCAAAGATGAATAGATAAAATCAAGTTATCAATATAGTAAACAAGTACATGCATTTCAAATGTAACCTACCCTCCGGATGAGCCACAATCTTCTTGATAGTCACATCATCCTGGATGAAAGCGTCCAGGAGTATGAAGCACTTCTTGAGTCTGGGACCGTTGTTTCCGTGAGTTTGTTGGTAAACTTGTCCGTTCTGTGTTAGTACTACTACTCCAAACTCACAACACGCTATTTGCTTCACTCCTGAGTTACACATTAATTAGTTACACAGTTAGCTCCATATTTAGCTCCATGTTTATATCATTTTGAACAACATCTTAGGCTGAAGATCGAATAGTAGACATTATAGACGACTTACAAACAGCGCAGACCCCCATTATAGATTGGAGGTAGGAAGTAGCCGAACACTCACCAAGTTCTATGAGAGTTTCACACTGGATAGGGAAGAGTTCCATACCAGTACTCTCCTCATTAGAGAGCTGGCCCCAACCAAACACTTCCTGTTCAGGAGGAGATGGTCCAGGAGTGGAGGGGAGGTGTAGAGCTCCTATTCTGTTCAGATGACACAGAACCAACAACGCTCCCTGGATTGAAGGAGTATTAGATATTACACATTTGTGATATATTATTAACAACTTGATCTATAACACCTCAGGTAGTTTTGTCATTGGTTAGATATGAGACATACGAACTTTTTACAACAGGTTGTATTTGTGAGAATAATACGGTTAGAAATTAATAAAGATTTAAAATCAGACAACTCTTCCTAACCATCTTCAAGTTAACAGGAACATCACAGTTGTTAGGGAGATTATTATCCTGTATAAACTCAGCGGGAGGACCAGAGAAAGTGCTGAGTCCGTCAATCTGAGCTAGTTTAGTGAGACTGGGAACAAGGGGAGCTGATAAGACCATCTTATCTGCTGTTATCCTGTTAGATTCCGTCAGTGCTTCTCTGCTTAGCTGGGGCGGAGTTTTACTGATAACACAGTTATAATTAGGATATAGGACTGCTGGCAAAAATTAGCCCGATTGAAAACCTCAGTCCACTTTAAATGTGCAAAATAGATGCAGCTGTACAGCAAATATTTTTCAAAAACACCAAATACCAAGTAGATATCATCAGAGGTAAAGTGTCTCCTAACCTTGAGACACACAGTTACGATATCCAGGAATGCAGCCACGTCAGCCTGCTGCACGGCCAGTTCCAGGAGGATAGCTACACTGAGTTGTCTGTCTTCACAGGGTGCTACACACTTCATTACTTGGGAGGTGGTCACCACGCTCACTAGGAACCTGGCAGATGATAATACGCTTTAGTATGCTTTAAAATATTACTATGAAAAGTAATTATAGTATAGTATTTAAGAGGATACTAAAGTATGGAATAGTGAACTGTAATAATATAATGACCACCATGAGACAGAAAATAACTGCAGTGCAACTGCCTGCTTGATTTCTATGGTTACCATTTCAACCAACTGAGTTGTTGCCTCTTACCTAATCTTTGGTGCGGTCTGCTGATCGATAATTATCAGTTTAATAAATACCAAAAAAATCGGAAAAAAGCATTTATTTTTGGGATTTATTTTTTGCTATCTTCGTTGACACTAAGGATAAGTTTTTTAGAAAATTAACTCAGGAACTGACTAAAGCATGGGGCTGTAATGATCAAAATACCACCATAATATTGAGAATTACAGCAGTGCAGCTGCTGACTGATTTCTATGATTACTATTTTTGTCTCTTAGGCCCTAACCTGACCCTTGGTACTAGCTGGTGATCGATAATTAGTTATCACCTGTTTAATAAATACCAAAAATCGAATCAAAAGAATTCATTCTTGAGCATTAATCTTTGCTTTGTTTCTTGACACAGCCTTTAGAATAGGTTTTTTAGAACATTACCCAGAGCCTGACTATAGAATGTCCCGGACTATCACCGCTGAGTGAACTCAAATCTTAATGCAAACCCACTACTATTTTCTATTATTTTAACTTTCTATATGCTAACACTTTTAAATTTATGTACTGTAATATACTTATATAAAATAAACTTGGACACTATTGCGCACACTGTTCAGTCCTCTATCTGCAACCCTTCCATCACACAAAATCATATAATCGAATTCTTCTTAAGCGTCAACATCGTGACCGAAGTTCTTTGATGCGGAAATCGTGTCCTCCAGGACAATAGGACTACGTAAGTTATATTATATAAGCACGGACGTTGCCAAAAACTAATTATGATTTAGTTTTTTCATAAAATACTTTTCAAATTTTACAGATTACAGCCATGAATAAATAAAATTAAATAAAACGAATTGATGACCGCAATAACATGGACCCATAAATAGAATGCTTAAAAATTAATTTAAAATAATTATTTACTAGAACAGCCTAGCTAATACATAATATCAACTCGAAGTCGTTCAATTTTTAACTAAAATGAAAGTTCATTTTAACAATATTTCGTCATTTAAAATAAACTTGATTCAAAGACTCGATTTCACAGGATTAGTTCGTTACGAAAGCTCCGCCTGTGATGTTTCTCTGGAACTTGGTTATGATCTGTATACAAGCGGTTCTTTACAAAGAATCTTGTGCTTCTGATACAGGTAAGAATTGAAAACAATTAATTGTCTCCATCAACTATTTCATTACAGCTAGAAAATTCTGACGTTTTATTGAATCTTAACATAGAATACATTTCAACGGATATCAATGAAACTAAAAGAATCATTTTCAGGTGTTCCATGTTCTATTGAAGAGATAAACGGTTTTCTAAAGTACGTGTGCAGCAGTACAAATATACATAGAACTAAATTCAAGTGCTGGAATACCGAGGAATTCTACTCTCAACCAAAATCACATGATTTCTACTTCGGACAAGCTTGCTCGCAAGACCCATTATTCTATCAAGCATGTAATAAGAAATTAAAAGATAAGATAACCAACAATGAGCTGCTCTGTGGAAGATTCTTGTGTTCTATTGGCGGCCGTATTTTTCCACCTAATAGAATAATAGGGTGGGGTTTGATATGTAACGGTGAGTTAAACTGCGGAAACACGGATCTAGATGAAGTAGGATGTGATCCAGATGAAGACAAGACCACAATGCTGAGTGGACGCACAGTATTTACTAGGGATATCTGTGACAATGAGTGTCATACTCTAGATTGTGAAGACGAAGCCGTTTGTAATGGTTACACGTACGGAATGTATCGCATTAGAACTCGTACTGGCTTGCTGGCTTACGTTCCTTTAAAGGCCATATGTAATAGTTTCGACGCTCACCTCTGGCAAAAGGATGAGTCCGTGACTAATTGTACAATCACGGACAATACAAAACACACTTGCGAACACATCATTACTGGAGAGATAGTGCCTGTACATAATTTTACCAGGTGCACCCCAATTCCTAAAAGAGCTGAACATCCCTCTGAGTATGGCTATTGTAATTATTATGATCAAATAAACAGTCAAACAAACTGCTCTGACCCGTCCAGAGTTGGAGTTACTTGCGACGTGAACGGATATAAAGCCACTCTTTCTAAATATTTGATCTGTCTAGATGAAAGAGTGAAGGCTTGTGACGATCAAATTGAAAGCAAGTGCTTCTCCACTAAAACCTGTAAAATACACAAACATCTCATGTGTAATGCTAAGCAGGACTGTGAGGATGGGTCTGATGAAAATCACTCCACGTGTCTCTCTAAAACAGAGGCTACTTGTAAGAGACGGGTCGGGAAAGACGGAGATCTGCCCATACCAATTTCCTGGTTAGGAGATGGGGTAAAAGACTGCGAGGATGGTTCGGATGAAACTGCAATCTGGCCAAGATGTGGAATCGGTAAAACACTACGATATGTGCCTAGCAACAAGGCTGTATGTAAAAATGCTCTTATCTGTCCCTGGGGCAACCCAGGCTATGTGGAGCTGAGTGATATATGTGATGGGATAGAAACTTGTGGAAACGAAAACAAAATCTGTTCAATTTCCCGAAGTGCTCACGATATTGTATCATCAGCATCCACAACAAAAAAAGGCCTCACCAAAAGACTATCATATTGCCACAAAGGTATGAAAAGCTTGGAACTATTAAAGGATGCCTGCGTAGAAGAATATCACATCTATCCTGACCACGATTACTTTGGTGTGGACACAAAAACCTCTGTGTTTCTTCCTAGAAGCAAGCAATCTTGTGACTACCTTTACGGAGAGAACTATCTGTACACAAGCTGTACTGGTAGATGCATCAGTGCCTCTTGTCCGCTAAGAAACATTCCAAGATACGAAGTTTGCCCTGAACAATTTCCTGGCCGTATAGGAACTATCACAAACGGAGAGTATCTTGCGTTTTTCACGAAATCATTCGGAAATATTTACAACAACCGATATTTTGTATGCGATAATAGGAAAAGGTGTGTGGATTATGATAAAGTGTGCAATCTTGTAGATGACTGTGGAGACAGTTCCGACGAAGATCACTGCTCTAACCATTTTAAGTGCAACTCTTCTGGGAATTACATACCTAAGTCTAAGAAATGTGATGGAAATTTTGATTGTCTGGACCTTACAGACGAGTGTAATGAAGAGTGTTCGAAGCAGTTACTGGAAACCACTTTACTAAAATGGCTCTCCTGGCTAATAGGTTCCCTCGCAGTTTTCTCAAACATTGTCATCATTATTAAGAGTCTAGCAACGCTAAAACGTTGCAAGACATCAGTTGCGATGACTAATAGATGTTTGATCATTTTAATCGCTTTAGGTGACTTCTTAGTAGGGTGCTACCTTTTCGTGATAGCAACTTACGACGGAATATTATTTAAAAGGAGTTACTGCATCAACCAGATCACATGGATTACAAGCCCCAAGTGCTCTGTAGTCGGCATTTTCAGCACCATCGGATCTCAGGTCTCCCTTTTCGCAATGACAGGCCTCAGTGTCATCAGGCTACATGGCATATGGAATTCTATGAGAGTTCCAGGTGAGGTAAATATGGTGAAATCTCTCCAGGTTGCAGCAGCGATGTTCTCTTTGGTTTTAGCCTCGGCAGTTATTGCAGTTATCCCGATCATCAAGAAGTTCGAAGATTTCTTTGTCAATGGAGTTAACTTCTTAGATGAGCTCAAGATCTTCATTGGAACACCAAATAAGGAAAAAGTTTTTGGTGTAATAGAAGCTTACTTCGGGAGGACCAACCTTAAAGTGGGATATGATGATCAACATGGTGAGAAATATGTTTTCACGGGATTTTGAGTACGAAGACCACACAGAGAGGGTGGCGAAAGTTGATTTCTATGGAAATGACGGAGTTTGCCTCTTCAAATACTTCGTCCAAAATGATGACCCACAAAGATCGTTTGTATGGGGCATCTTAGCTCTCAATTTTATCTGCTTCCTCTTCATTTCCCTTTCATACATTCTCATCGGAATATCATCTCGAAGGTCATCAAAAAGTGTGGCAGGATCAAACAATCGGCAAATGCAGCAACGGAACATGCGCATGAATCAGAAAATAGCCATCATAATAGTCACCGACTTTTTGTGCTGGATTCCCTTCATCGTGATATGTGTCCTCCACTCAGTGAATGTCCTGGACGCTACACCCTGGTATGCCCTGTTTTCTATGGTCATTCTTCCGATAAATTCTGTGATCAACCCGCTTCTCTACGATGATGTATTGACAGAGGCCATTAGAAGTCCTTCATGTTTAATCTGGACCAGAGTTTCAAGCTCTACAGTGTACCAAAGAATTCGGGGATGGTTTAATCCAGCACCAACAGAAACAGTGGAGGTGGAAAGTATTGAAACGAGAGAATCCAAGGCGACAACGAGTGATACTAATCGAACAGGAGAACTAAGTCTAAAAAAGGAAAGCTCTGCACCCAACATTCCTGACCAAAGTACCACCGGAGTAGACAAAGAATTGGAGACCACTACAGCTGAAGGGGATAGAAACGTGAGAGCAGGGAGAGTATCACAGCCCTCAAGAAGAGATAGAAGAGGTAAAAGAATGGTTAAATCCTATCAAGCAGAGTCTGCTGGAGATGGGATCATTGAGACGGAAACATAGCTAGGGGAGAAGGAAGAGAAGTCTCTAGAAGAGTAAACTTAACATCACGAAAGTCAGACAAAGAGGTTATAATGAATGAAGTCAAGAATAAAGACAGCACTCAAAATGATATTACATACTATATACTGTATAAATATGTATAATTGTATGCAAATTTTACTTGCAGTAGTATTGTATAATGTGTATAGAAAATACTGGTGAATGTTTTAAGCTCGATCTAAAAACACCTAGTTTAAAGTTAGACAATTACATAATTGGTAACGAGATATCATTGAATAAATTCTTTAACGACTGTCACAGCTGCATATCCTTTATTCACAACCTTGTTATAGTTTAAATAATAGTATTAATGCAGTCTAAGATACTTGGTAAACATTTTGAAATGTTTTAATAAAAAAGTATTTGATTTCTATTGTGCGTTTCACATAATTGTGAACATTTTTTGTTGTTGATCAGAATACATTTTTGAAAATTTACAATTACGTATTTAATTTATGAATAAATGAATAATCTTATTAAAAGAGATAGTTGTTTTCCTTTATTTTTTTGAATATACCGGTTCAAACTAGAACCTTCCACTAAATTCAGATATTGACTTATTTGCGGGGAATCAATGCGGTAAAAATGTGGTAATTGTGGATTGAGTCAAAATGCCCGAATCAAGGAACATTCTGTGAACATAAAACTCCCGGCCCCCTTAAGCTGCACCCTACAATTTCTCTAGCAATTATAATCATTACTTTGTGGTTTTGTTGACGATGTCTCCCCATACAGAGCTCTTCTTGTGGTTATCGAACAGTAAGGCTGGAGGGAGAGACTGCAGAGCGAACAGGGTGTCTTGTAGCACATCAGTACACAACTCTGTATCGTCGCCTGAGTGAGTTGTAGTGTAAAGAACTGTAATACAATGAACTGTAATTGTAAATTATAACACTCAGATTATTTTAAATTTAAAAGCTTAAAAGATTGCCAACAAAATGTGTTAACAGGTGCTCTATAATATGCAAAGGTTTTCCATTGTACTAACAGAAATGCAGTTAACTAATAGAAGTAGCTAAGAAGTTAACTAATAGAAGTAGACATAGCTTTTAGGGTTTGCAGACTACCACTGTCAAGATCGAACTGACAAAATTTATATTTTATATCAACGTTTATATTATATGCGTGCAGAGTGAGCAAGTACTAACCAATAACCTGTAAATCTTATGTCTCAGTTACACAGCTAATTAGTACTCGCTAATTAATACCAGCTAATTAGTACTAATGAGTGTAATTTTCAGACCTCTGTGCAACTAATTATCACTTAGTAGCGCCTTAAGTGGGTTCAAAATGAGTCTAATAAGATATTTGCCAGAGTGATTATGTATGCTCATTAGTTATGATACTGAATATCTGATGACTGATAACAATACCAGATATTGACATAACACAGGGTGGCACAGAATAAGCTCTATAAGCGACTCTTAGTCGGAGACTGCAATTCAACGGGATAATTGCAGCAAAGTATGGATAATTCCTGTAGACTGTATGACAGAATAAAAAATCACGACATGTAACTACCTCTGGACAACCTGTACTTAAAATAATAAATCACCATAGATTAATTAAGGTACATACCACATCTCCAAGTTTTCTTCAGAAATGCAAAGGCAAATGAGAGTCCAGCCCTGGCACCAAGCTTAGCAAAGTTATCCACTGGGTTGACAGCATGACTGATCTCTGCAACTTCACTCTCACTCTTTGAGTTACAGATGGTTTTCTTCCTTGTTCTTGATCCTTCCATATTGCAGCGGGAGAGGGCCTCGAAGATTCTCTCTGCTATTATCAATCTCTTCTGCATTCTCATTGAAGATATGGTGCAGTGTGCCGCATGTAGTGATATGATACGTTGCTCTGCTGACAAAGCCTGGAACAAAATAACAAAATGTAACTTAAATTTACAAACTTTAGTTGGCAATAATTATCACTGCTTCTACAATCAGAAGAAATACATAGTATCAAGTTTGAACTAATATCTTTAAAAAAGGTTATTTTAAAGTGATTCCTACCTCTAATACTTGTTTACAACTCTCAAGTGATGGCTGCCGTTGCCACGTCCACCAGTCTAATAAAACTGATGAAGGGATATGCTTTTCTGGTCGGCATGACAATGATTCCTCAATTTCATTGTCGATAAGTAACTTTTCCCATAGGTGGGTCCAGCCACCAGGATTTGCAAACAACTGAAAATGATTTTCACTTAATATAATAAAATTGATTTGGAAGGCTTTTGAATATTCTAAATACAGGTTAATCAAACAACGAATATTAGCCAGTAAGATTAGACCCTAACTTACTGGAACGTAGTTTACAGTACTAATAGTCGAATTAACCAGAAATATCTTACTTTTTCAAAACAGCTGATTTGAATATACTTATCACTAAACAGTTCCTGAGACAAAAGCTACACCTATATTATATCAAGTGCATTAGATAGAATCATAGATATAATATGTAAAACAGAAAAGCAGAGCTTACCTTGTAGTCGATTGGTAGCCATTTTGCATCAAATTGAGGTTTTGATTTCAGGCAATATATTTGAGACTTCATTGCTTTATCATTAACATGATTAACAGGCAACTATATTTGAAACTGCCATGCAATGGTCTGAAAACGTTAGTCTATTATGGTTTTATATTTTCAAAAACAATAATATTAGCAACTTCTACTTAAGGAATCTGCAATAAAAAAGAGCAGGTTGAAAGATGTGATTGAGGTTGCCCCATCTCAAGCATGTTCTAGTAAAATCCCACAACAACCATAACCAGGCCTCTCCTGCAAGGAATATACTAGATGTATGGTAGCATTAATCCTAGAGAAGATCAGTACTTTGCTTTTTTTCTCAAAGGGGGAGCCCTCACTCGGTACCACTAGCGTATGAAATCATACCAGTCAAGACAAAATGTCCTGTAAGGTGCTGAGTGAGGGCTCCACTTAGATTGGGTCGTTATCTGCCCACATCCAGGAAGAAAACATCCCCTAGTGTCTGTGTTCTTTGTGCACTTAATGAGATAACAGATTCATAGTAGACAACTTCTAACTATGGAAACCTTGATTTCAAGTACACAATACAAATCATGAATTTAATTGAGCCTTTTTCTTGTTGCAATAAACGGGAACCCTACAAATTTTGCCCCAGAAACATTACAACAATGCAACTAATAAATAATTTCACATACATAGTTTAACTTTAAACCCAAGGTATGAGAAGAAAATGTAAACTTTCAAAAAAAGGTTGCTCCACAGTTTTAAATTTCGCTATGTTTCAACAATTTCGAGTCGTCTGATATGTATGTATGCTTTAACAAATAGTGATTTTAACTTTGAGATAAACTGCTATATTATTATATTTTCGTACCAATGTTCACTTAACTTAACGTCTCTCACTGACACCATCACCCGGCAACCAATTTTAAAGTAAAAAGTAAAATTTATTAACGATCTGACTACAGACTGGCGATCAACGTTCCCCGTATAGTAGCTCAACGGAGGAGGTAATCAGGGCACGTGTTAATGAAAAATGTACGTGTCCTTCCACAATCCCTTCTGTTGGGTCACACGTTATTGGGAACTGAGATCGCTATCGTGTAACTAGAAGCAGTATATGCAAAGTAACTTAGGTGATAGGTGATAGGCAATATGAAATTATACATCTTACTTTAACTTTATCCCGTCACCCATGGACTTATCAATTAAGGGGATTAAGGGCTGGTGGTGGTGTCATCGTTTGTCGTACTCAAAACGTTTTGCAGTTGCGAATGCTGGCCCATCGAGGAAAATCTTTTTACTTTGTTTTTTAACCATTACAAAGTATGATTAGTCGGATATAGTACTGAGTTCAAACAGTTCCCGAAACGAAAAAGCAAAAATTTGACTTTTGTTTCGGCGACTGAATCGTCGATGGGCCGGCAAATATTTGTTGTCGAGTAGTGTTGAATACTCATATTAACATGATTATTGATTTAATTTAGGAATTGTATATAAATATCTTTGACCAAGATTAATTGTCAATGAGAATGCACCCCAGCACTAGGCGCGCGCGGCGGCTTCGATGTTAGCGGCTACAAGCTAGGCAGCAGCAGAAAAAATGCCGCGCGCGTTCAGCGTACCTGTCACCAAGATGTCATGTAGGTCGGGTCGGGCGGGGGTTGGATCGGGCCGGTTCGATCTAGGAATTGGCTCGAACGCTGGCGTGAGATACATATACAAATACATTGAAAGCCGCGCGTTCGATCTTATTCCTGGATCGGGCTGGTTCGGTCTGGTTTCTCGTTCGATCTGATTTAAATCTTGGTGACAGTACGGCTTTTCGTTTTTGATTTTACAAATGACAAAGCAACTTTTAATGATTATTAATAGAATTATCGGATATTTATAATTCAATATGTATCGATTCTTCTGTGGAAAATAAAAATTGTATTTTACTTAAAAATTGTAATATTTTACTTGTATTAAAGACCTGAGTACCATGTCAACTTAACCTTTTACACATTAAACGGCAAAAATTGTGAGCAGCAGAATTAAGAGTGGCCCTAATTATGAACAGTGTATGGAAATTGATTAAACAAGGGCAATCCAAATTAGAGCCGATAATGTACAACTACTTAAAGAAGCTGCTATAAAAAAATTGGAATTCGGGCTGAACATGAGATTGTACGTATCATATAATAATAATAATAAATACAACATTTATAAACCGCCTTATAGCTAAATCATATAACTCGATATAATTTAATCCTGGAGATAAACTCCAGTGCTTTCTAAAGCGGCTCTTACATTAACTGAGCTTAGCTTAATTGAAAATTAGACATGACAAGTTCATTTTACCTATGTAAATGCAAAATCAATCAAATGCTAGAGAAAAGAAGTATGTTTTAAGTTTGGTCTTGAAAGATGTAACTGACTCAGCTGATCTTATGTCGTATGGCAAGGAATTAAATACTTTAACTGCACAGTGACTAAAAGCTTTCTCTGTGTTTACATAGTTAGGAGAGGGCGGAAAACTAAGGTAAAAATAATCATTATCAAGACGTACATTTTTTAAACTTTGCTGCCTAGGAGATATCAACTCTTTTAAGTAAAGAGGAGCTATATTATTTAAACACTTGTAGGCAAGTAGGGCAATCTTAAAATCTATTCTAAATCTAACTGGTAGAAAATGAACTTTCTTAAGAAGTGGAATAGTGTGTGCCTTTCTTCCTCTCCCGAAAATAAATCTTACAGCAGAATTTTGCACCTTCTGTAAACGACTTAAATCATAAGAGCTCAGTCCAAAATATACGCTATTGCAATAATCAATTCTAGAGAGTACTAGAGCATGAACAAGCTGAATCTTAGACAGTTTTGATGCAATAAACCACAAATTTCTGATCTGAATATTACATGCTTGAACCACTGACGTAATCTGATCACTCATTGAAAGATAACTGTCCAAATACAGCCCAAGACTCTTCACAGTTCCACTAACAAAATGTGGCTCTTGATCCTTAACAATCTGTAGAGAGGCTGGAATATTTGTTGAGTCAAATTTAGAGGATATAACGATGACTTCAGTCTTAGAAGAATTCAGTCGAAGGAAATTGTTTGTCATCCATTTCTTGATATCAGACATACAGTGTTCCATATTGTGCTCTAGCTGTGATGGGTCATCAGAATCAAGAGTGAAATACAGCTGGGTGTCATCAGCATACAAATGAATACAGCACCCATGCATACTTGCAATGTTCTCAAGATCTTTGGTGTACAATATGAATAGCAGGGGGCCAAGGATTGAACCTTGTGGCACACCTATCTCAAGAACAGTTGCTGAGGAAGACGAATCCTTGACTTTGACACAAAATGAACGGTTAGCCAAGTAGGACCTGATCCATGTAAGAGCAATGCCTGTAATGCCATAAGCAGATCTTAGCTTCTTGATTAATCTTGGGTGATTGACAGTATCAAAGGCAGCACTCAAATCTAGAAGTAAAAGAACAACTTTAGTTTTCTTGTCAATAGTTATCAAGATGTCGTTATGGATTCTGGTTGTTGCAGTTTCACAGCTATGAAACTTCCTATAGCCGGACTGAACTTTAGAAAGCAAGTTGTTATCCTCAAGATAACTGGTGAGCTGTATAGATACACACTTCTCAATGATTTTTGACAAGAATGAGGGATTGCTAATAGGCCTATAGTTAGATAGAGATTCACCGTCAAGGCCACGTTTCTTCAAACTTGGACGAATGAGAGCCTCCTTAAGTTTTATAGGAAACTCACCTTTAACTAATGATTCATTGACTATAAATGAGATCAGAGGAAGGAGTTCTGGGAGACACTTGATGAGAATCTTTGTAGGTATGGGGTCAAGATCACAGAATTTGTTAGACATATTCTTTATGATGCTTACTAGTTCTTCATCAGACACATGACGGAATTGTACTATCTTTGGGCTATTAGAAAGAGGAACAAATTCATCTGAGTTAGGAGAATCTTGGGATTGTTGTTCTAAATAAATGTTGTTGTATATGTTGTCGACCTTTGATTTAAAGAACTGTGCAAAGTTGTTAGCACTCTCAAGATTTGAAGAGCAAGAAGGTGTAGTAGTACTAACTTTTTCTTTATTGAGCAACTTATTAACGATGGAATAAGTCTTTTTAGCATCACCTGCACTATCTTGTAACCTTGTTTTGTAGAAGTGATCTCTTGTGGATACAATGACTGAGGATGCTCTCTCTGATGCTTTCCTGTACAGTCGTTTATAATCTGGGCAATCATGATTCTTTTGATACAGTCTCTCAATCTTTCTTCTCATTGCTTTTGCTTGTTGACAGTGTGTAGACCACCATTCAGCGTTATGATCTTTTCTTGGGATGAAAGTTTTTTCTTTAGCATGCTTGTCCAAAATACTGCTCAACTCAGACTCATAGATATCAACTGCACTATCGAGGTCATTGAAGCAATCAGTGTCACATAGTTTTGACTTAAGAATGTCCTCAACAAAAGCATCTAGGTCTATGCAAGCAATGTTTCTGTAAATAATTGGTTCTAGAGTGCCTATGGGTGCTGGAGATACATTGCAATTGAAAGCAACAAAGTAGTGGTCAGACGATGTACCAGAATCAGTAATGACAGGATCTAGAACTTCAATGCAATCGTGAGTATAAGAACCATCCCTGGTAATTACAAGATCTAATATGCCCCCATCTCTGTGTGTTGCAGCTGAAATTTGTTGCACCCACCCACAAGACTTAAGTAGTGAATTAAACCTTTGTGCAACTGAATCATTTTCGTCTTCAGTGTGGATATTAAAATCACCCATGATCAAGGGCTTTCCAGGTTTGTCTACTAAATCAACCAAGAGTTGCTCAAAGTCAGTTAGAAATTGGGGGATGTTAGCACTCTGAGATGTGGAGGTGCCAGAACGGTAAATTGAAACAATTCGTAGTATATCTCCAGAAGATGATTTGAAGGTACATTCACAAGACTCAAACGTTTTGAATCGTTTCTTATATAGAACAGCAACACCTCCTCCCCGCCCAGCTCTTGGCTGGCTATGAATGGAATATCCAAGTTCTTTCATCTCAGAAAACTTAGCATTGTCATCTTTTCTCAGCCAAGTTTCTGTAGCACAGCAA